AAGTTTTGCTATTAAGCATTTGACTTTGAGAATAATAAAAGCTTTGTGCTAGTGGAGTTTTCTTTATCATGATAAAAACAACATGTAAGAGTCAAATTTCTGTTAAAATCTTGGCGCCTTTTTGCTGTGTCTTGCATGTTAGTCTCCCAGTGTATGACCACTCTCGGCCTGGCTGCCCTTCTGTTTTTTTGCAGGAGATGGAGGTACGTGGTTCAGCTCCTGGGGCCTGAGCATGTACATGGTTTGGTGTGGTCTGAGGGGCTTCAGACCTTGGGGCTGCTCTGGTAGGTCCTTGTCTTCAGCTTCATTTTCATCCAAACTTTGTTTGTTTAGAATTTGTGGAAGTCATTTGTTTACCAAAGAATGACCTGCTCAAGAGACTTGATGGTAAGTAGACTTAAAATTATCATCTGGAGTTTCTCCATTTTTTCCTGTCTATCCCCAGAACCCGGGGTCTTACAGCTAACTCCATTTCATCAACTCCTCTAAATCTCGATAAAGCCCAGGAGCTGGACTTTGTTGTAAAACTGCACTTGGCTCATATTGGTTTTCCTTCCCAGGTGGTACAGTACTTTCAAATCAAATACTGTCACATGACTTCTCCAGTGGAGGGGGGGTGCCTTTTTTATTCCTCCTGTTTGGTCAGGAATCTTCCAGCTGGATGGACAGAACTACTCTGGCCTTTAATGCATAATAATCTTGAAAGCAGAGGTGTGCGTAGCTCTCTTTGCTTGTCCTCCAACATAGCAGCATATTTAGTGGTTCCAAGGGAAGGGTGTGAGAAGTAATTTAACAATTTCTACCAATATTTATGATAATTGAAGCATGCTGCATATGATGGGTTCAGTCAGCAGCCCACACTTTCTAGCAGTGGCCCTACAAGAAATCACTGGATACTTGTGGCCAGCACATCTTGTCAGGGTTCTCTGTAAGCTAAGAAAGGTCATGTGGAGTGCCACGCCAGCAGCTGCTGTGGCATGTCATGAGCAGCCCTTCGTGGAGCTGCTCTGTGCCAGCTGCGGAGGCCCCTGTCCCTCATTTCTTCTGAGAAGCGAGGCACTGTTCATGACTGGGCTATTTTGTTAGTTTTAAATATTTCAGCAAACTGATAACCTCGTGTTTCTGCTGGCTGAAAGTCACTATTTCATAAAGTGGAGCACTCAGTTCCTCCCTCACTTCCTTCTGGGCGTTTCTTAGGCAGAATGTTTTATCCTGAAGGGTCTTTATCTTGGCTTGAGGTATCCTGTGATACCACTGTGTCTTCACCTGTTTGCATAGCCCCTCTTTCAATTTCACCTTGGCAAGAAACTAGACCCAGGGTAAAAACCACCTGAAGGCATCACAGCCAGAGGTAGGCATGACCATGCTGGAGAGGATGTGCTGTGCACTAGGCTCATATCAGAGAAAGCCAGGTTTGAGGACAGGAAATCTGATGGACTCCCCTGAGCCCAAGGCCCAGCCCACCTTATTAGTTACTTTAATCACATCTTACTCTAAGTTTTTGTCCTACCTCTGATGAAGCAGAAGTAAAACCAAATGGCATAACGTAGGTAGTGCATTTGGCACATGGGTGCTTAACATTTTCTCTGCCACGTGTATTTGCTCTTCATGTTAGGAGAGCATCGTTTTTAAAAAAGGTGCTCCCTTCTACTAAACTGAACTTTCCTTCTAGTCTCAGATGGGGAAGACCAGAAAGGGGCTGGGGGCTGGGAGGGACCAGGAGGAATAGGGTGGAAGGGAGGATAAGGGAATGGGTTTGCCTAGCTTCAGTAGACTCAAAGTCGAATCACCCTGTCTTGTACTCCCCTGAGGAGTTGCAAAGCAGGTCCTTCCAGGTCTGGTTGCTGCCCGAGTAGCACTTCCCAAGCAGCTGCCACACACACAGGGCAGCAGGACACTGGCTTTACCTTCAAGCAGCAGAGTGTTTGTGCTTGTTCCCCGACAGGTGACTGAGCGAAACCCAAGTTCTGCAGAAAGTCTGCATTGAGGGGAGTCTGAGACCCTGTGCTTGTTTGTTCCTTCTAGTCCTGTCAGGTGCCTAGCTTCTCCTGCAGAAGGACAAGCCGCATCCCCTGGCCAGGAAGGATACAGGGAATCCCCATGTTGTCATGAGCATGGCCTCAGAGCAGTCAAGCTGCACCTGAGCTCTAAAAGATGAACAGTTGGGTCTGTGATGTTTGGCTCTACTGTTCTGACCCAGAAAAATCACGAACCAATGTCCTGGTCTCACACTGAGGTAGTGCTCCCTGCCTTCAAAGCCACTGTTCCTCTGAGTGAGATACCTGCAGGCAAAAAGTGTCCTACCACCAGCCTAGAGCAGGGTGGTGGCTCAGTCACGTGACTAAATGGTGTGACCTCTTACTGTATTACTTCAATTGTATTCTTTGCTTCCTCTAGATCTGATAGCTGAAGAACATCTCACAGTGGACGCCAGGGTCTATTCCTATGCTCTGGCACTGAAACATGCGAATACGAAGCCATTTGAAGTGCCATTCCTGAAGTTTTAAGGCCAAAGAGTACACTGACCATGACTCTGTAAATGAGTCCACCAGGCCTTCTTCACTCAGACTTTGTATTCAACTTAGTTTACTGTAGATCCAAAATGAGCTTTTTCATAAAATAAAAGCAGCACAGAATGCACGTGGTGGTGATATGCTATTGCAATTACAAGTAGACTGTAACCTTGAAGCTGTTAAACCCCAGCTAATGTTAATGAACAAGAACGCAGATGACAGGTGTTTGCTCCATATTTTAAAGCTCAACTGTGACTTCTCTAATCCAAGGGGTAGGGATATCTTTATAGAAAAAGACTTTTTAGTTCCCACTCCCAAACCCAGTATAAAAATCTGTGCTTTCTTTGGGATATTGCAGAACAGATTCTGGGAAACCAGGCTGTTTCTCTCCCAGCCTTGGGTGCGCTGGTGCGGGACTCCCACCAGTAATCCCCCCCACCCACCTCTTTCCCTAGGAACCAGGCAGTCTCCAGTTGAGGGTGGGGTCCTCACCTCAAGTTTGAAGATGTGCGGACTGCAGGGTGTGGGGAGGGGGCACGATCCCAGGGGCCATTTCTCACTTCTCTTTCCTCATCTTCACCGTCCCAGAGTTAGGTGGCTTCTTTCCTGAACAGCGTTCTGTAGGGAAGACAAGTTCACAAGAGACCAGCAGGCCGCCAGCCTGTCATCCCTCCCCTACCAGTCTGCTAACAGGAAGAACCACACCAATACCGACAAGTTTCCATGTTGCTTTACAGCAGAAGGGACTTCTAATATAACCAAATGTGGTGTTTTAGTGACTTTGATGTTGTACATTTTTGGAATTCAAATTTATTTCTATATTTTTAGGACCAATCTGATTTTTACTAAGATTTTAGAAAGTCTAGAGAAAAAGTTTTTTCCCATGTAATGGTCCACAATTGCAGTAGAAAAGTGCTTGTCAGTTGAATAAAAACCACATTTGATAGAGGAAAAGAAAAGCCTATGCTGGGTACACAAATAACTATTTACTGCATCAGTGTTCATAAAATAGTCTTAGAAAAGAGATCTATATAGAGACTTTGTTGGCCTCTACTACTCAAATTACTATGTAGGGCAGCAGAGGATGTAAAATCAATAGAAAACATTTATAATACACAGATGCTTTGTTTATTTACTGTCCACAGCCACCTAATTCCTGAAGCTGACCCTGCTGTTAAGTAATAAAACCTGGCTGATTCCATTCACTAAATCAAGGCTAACTGAATGACAGAAACACAGGGCCCTTCCTCCAAACATGCACATACGTAATAGCATCCGATTCCTGTCCTCTGATAAAACTTGACACTTCTGAAACAGATCCATAGCTGACAGTGGTGTCAGGGGATATCACCTTGATGTCTCACCTCGAGTATAGTCATAGTCGGGAGGGCTAGCCCAACACTTGACACATACTAATACCAACTACTTTTCAGAGGAAATCATTGTTTCTAGTGCGTGGGCCCCTAAGCCCTGTACCCACAAGCCCCACCACTGTGAACAGACCATGTTGTTAATGGCTTCAGTGAGTCAGCGCTTGCAGTCCCTGTCACTCCAGCACACCTGCTTTTCCAGTCAAGATTCAGGTGATTCTCCTTGACCAGCACCAAGTCGTGCCTCCACCTGCAGTTAAGCCAGGTTTTCCAGATAAAATCGGCTACGAATGCCATCAAGATGCCATATAATTCATCTAACAGGTTGTTATCTGAACTTACATCTCTGAGTGAAAACACATCTTGATACTTAACTGCTTAAACAAGGATAGAAAGAAATATGAGACTGCTTAAGTTTATAGATCAAGTCCATTTTCCACAAAACTCTTAAATGGCAATGGCCAAGCTCTGGAACCCCTGCCTGTCCTTCCTGCCTTCCCTCCACGTCTGCCTCCCAGGGCACAGCTGAAACCTGTCGTGTCCCTAATGCCCCTGCTGCATCTGTGGGCACTGCAGGCTGTGCTGTGGAGACGACAGCTCGAGAACTGGCGGTCTGGACGTTCACTGGCTGTTTACCCACGTTTTAAAACTCCATGTTTCCTGCTGCAGCAACCCTGGCTCCATACTCCTGGGGTAGTGATGGGTAGGGGTCCCTGCAGATGTTAGCTTGTTACCATCCTGCCATTTGTCTTGGTGACCCTAAGCTAACTAAGACAAACTTCCTAGACTAAAAGAGTAAACCTTAAAAAGGAGTGCTTCTGTAAATGTCTTTTAGAAACCAAGTTTGATCTAAATGAAATACTGACAGGGAACTATGCAGCTTCAAATAGAAACTGTTCTGGGACCACTGTCTTCCTATCCTTTTCCAACTACTAGTCACAGAAATGAGTACCTTCAAGTTGGCCAGTGTCCCTCAGTGGCTGAGCACTATACAGCACGTTGCCATCACAAGTAGCAAATCAGGATAGGTTCTGTTTGAATACAGTGAACCCGCAGTAATAATTTTAGGAAACACCTTCATATCAGATTTCTTTATTTTTCCAACACAACTGAATCCGTTTTATTAAATAAAAGTTTATTGTCTACTGTTTACACTCTTGTTGCTGCTGCAAGTACAACAACATACATAAATTCCTAGCATGAATTACTCATTGTTCACCCCCACTGAACTACAGACATTGCTTGAGAATTAAATCTTTGCTTTAGGGATTAAAAAGAGAAAGAAAGAAGAGGGGCATAGTATCTGAAGGAGTATTCTCAAGTGACTGGTTGGAATTAGGAGGCATAGCCAATACAGTCAAACAGCACTGAGTATGCTGTCACCTGGAAGAAAGGAGGAATGACGAGCAGGAGTGATCGGAAACAGCTGGCTCTACGGACACAGGTAACTGATGCCGGAGTTCAGCCCGTCTGGGCTAAGTGGCTGCTCTGGAAGGGGACAAATAAGAAGAGGGAGGGTCGGGGCAGGGAGGGCCAGGATCATGGACACTATGAGTTAAAAAAGTATAAAAAAGTAATTATCTAAAATATAGATTAGATATAAATGTTCCAGAACTCATTAAATAAGTTCAAAAATACTGGAAAGTGGCAATTTGAACTACATTTATTTTTAAACAAGTGTTGGGGGTGTAGTATTCTGAACATTGTGTGCAAAACGAATGCATGTCACCGTCTCACCGTCATAATTTCATACAGCAAGGTGGATGCACTGATTTCCAGCAGGACAGGCAACACCAGATGGACAGTTCTTAATGGAGAATGTAAACTTCGGTTTTAAGGCAGCTGGTACTAACGCTGCACACAGGCTTAGCTCGGCGCCCATTCTGGAAATGGGACAATTAGCACTTGAAAACAAGAAACTGTGAAGGGAGAGAAGGAGAACTGGCATTCTTTGACAAAAACAACATGTCAAAATGTTTTCCCTTTCACACACACAAGAAGAAATATTTGAACATTTAAAAAAACAAAGCACCCATCCCACCAACCTCAGCCTGTTCCTTAACAAATATTTCAAAGTACTGATAAATAATGGTGACTGCAAGCAGAATCCCAGTGCCAGATCCAATGGCTCCCAGGAAGTCTGCCAGCACAGAGAGGGCGCCAATGCACAAGCCTCCAAACGCAGCAGCCGTGGGGATGTACCTGGAAGACAAATATCGTGGTCAGGCAGTGGAAGCAGGGAGGGCTCTCTGCAGTGCAAACATGTGACAGGACCATCTGTAGTGTAATGGGCTCTGCATTAGAGCTGACATGCTAATCAGAGTTCTGTCACTAACAGAGGACCCAAGTTTTCAAATCTACAAATGTTTAACTACTAGTTTTCTCCCTAAGTGACTATTGCAGTCAGATGTGGGTCAGGGCAGGCCAAGCCAGGAACCAAGAACTTCATCTTGGTCTCCCACATGGGTACTCAGGCCATCCTCTGCGGCCTTCCAGGTGAGTTGGTAGATACTTGGTTCAGAAGATAAGCAGCTGGGACTGTCACTCCAGTACAAGATGCCAGCCAGCTGTATGCATCCTGTAAGTAGGATATGGCATATAACAGGTTAAAGCATTTGTTTTGTCTCAGAGTTTCAGAAACCAGTAAATGGCCAAAAAGGGCAACACATGATTATTGGGGCAAAAGTACAGAATCCCAGACTTAGATGCAAGTATTAAAATGTTTCATATTTTTTAAATGGATAATGTACAATTCCCTCTTGTGAAACAAAGAGTAAATTTCAAGGTGCTTTCTAAGTGTCAATAAACATGCTAACAAGGTTTTAATGATTCTCTTCAACAGTAAGTCAACCCCGGCTGCATATCGGAAATTACCTGAAAAGCTTACATGTAAAGTTTTGTTTAAAACAAATTGAGAGGGCCTGAGGTGATGACTCAGTGGCTAAACCCTTGCCTTGTACACTCTGGGACCCCATAGGGGCACCAGTTCATGTCCCGGCTGCCCTACTTCCCTTCCAGCTCCCTGCTTGTGGCTTGGGAAAGCAATAGAGAATGGTCCAAAGCCCTGAGACCCTGCACCCGCATGGGAGACCCAGAAAGGGCTCCTAGCTTCAGATCAGATCAGTTCGGGCCACTGCAGTGATTAGGGGAGTGAAGATCTTTCTCTGTTTCTCTTCCTCTGTAAATTTGCCTTTCCTATAAAAATATATTTAAACAATGAGGAGATGATAGATCAAGCAATGGCAGAGTAGCAGTTAACTACTGACGTTGGAGACTCACTGTACTATCCTCCACAATGAAGGTTCTGAATAAATACAAAGCTCAAATAAAAATGCCAAGTGTCATCTCAACAAAAGATGCCAGACCCCAGCTGGATTCCCACATGCAAAGAGTATTATGTGGACATTATCTCCCATCAAATACAAAAATGAACCGAGTATTTCATCTTACCTTTGTAATAGAGTTTTATTTTTTTTTAATAGAGATCACTACATAGATCACAGAAGAAAACAAGAATATTTGTAACCTTGGGTTTGGCAATCCTTCCATAAACTGCACACCAAAGGCAGCAAAAGCAATAAAAGAAAAATTTAGGCTGCAGCAAAATTAAAAGCTGTGTATCAAAGGACAGAGACCAGGGGAAAGGTGGGAGCAGTTCCTGACACAGAGGTTAAAGGACGCTGACACGCTTATCAGGCTGCCACTTCAGTCCAGCTTCCTGCTCACGGGCACTCAGACACTGCAGATGATGTGTTAAGCCCTTGGGCCCCTTCCTCCCACGAGGGAGACTCTACTCCTGGCCTCAGCCTGCAGTAACCCTGGCTGTTGTGCATACTGGGGAGTCAAAGAGTGGACAAATATCTGTCTCTTACCTTTCAAATTAAAAAAAAATAAGAGACAAAAATGACCAATAAATCCTGAACATCAGTAGTCCACGGCAAAGCAAATCAAAACCTCACAGATACCACATCCCACGCCTTAAGCCAGAGAAGCAGTGCTGGGAAGGCAGAGCGTGCAGGCAGCCTGGCAAGCAGCTCGGCAGCTCCTCCAAGTGCTAACCACGGCCTCGCTCCATGACGTGAGAAATGCACTCTGGGGCCCAGCGCGATGGCGCAAGTGGTTAAGGTCCTCGCCTTGCATGCCCCGGGATCCCATATGGGCGCTGGTTCTAATCTCGGCGGCCCCGCTTCCCATCCAGCTCCCTGCTTGTGGCCCAGGAAAGCAGTCGAGGATGGTCCAAGGCTTTGGGACCCTGCACCCATGTGGGAGACCCAGAAGAAGTTCCTGGTTCCCAGCTTCAGATCGGCATAGCATCGGCCATTGTGTTCACTTGGGGAGTGAATCATCGGACAGAAGATCTTTCTCTCTGTCTCTCCTCTCTGTATATCTGCCTTTCCAATAAAAATAAAATAAATCTTTAAAAAAACAAAAACAAGAAATGCACTGAGACATGAAAACACACCCACATGAGATGTTTGCAGACACGCTCAGAATGGCATTATTCATAACATGCCAAGAAGTAGAAACAAAAATTCCCATCAATTAATGATTTAAAAATTACAATGCGGCAACCCAAAAGTACTAACACCTACCTAAAATGGATGAGCTATAAAAACAAAAAGGTCAGACGAGCCACTCAACAAAAGATGACATGTAAATCTATGAAATGTCCAGAACAAGTGAAGCCGGCAGTGGGGAGCCGTGAAGGGTCAGGGAGGGGCCGCTGACTTTGAGGGTGGGTAGGAATGGAGGACTAGGGTCTCTTTCTCAGTGATGAAAATGTCTTTAAACCAGGTCTTAATGACTGCATGGATCAGGATTATATTTTTAAAAACAGTGAAATATCTACCCACTTCACATGAATGTGAATTAAATCTCAAAGCTGTTACCAAAGACCAAAAACCCAACACTTGGAACCCATCCCAAGCCGAGTCACAATTCCTGTTGGTGGGTGATCAGTCCTTCTTCAAAGCTCCACAGTTACTTACTTTATTTATTTATTTAGGATTTTTAAAAATGTTTATTGGAAAGGCAGATTTACAGAGAGAAGGAGAGACACAGATAAAGATTCTCCATCCGCTGGTTCACTTTCCAAGTGGCCGCAAAGGCCGGAGATGAGCTGATCTGAAACCAGTAGCCGGGAGCTTCTTCCGGGTCTCCCATGCAGCTGCAGAGTCCAAAGGACTCGGGTTGTCCTCTACTGCCTTCCCAAGCTACAAGCAGGGAGCTAGATGGGAAGTAGATCAGCTGGGATACAAACCAATGTCCATATGGTATCATGGCACATGCAAGGCAAGGACTTCAGCCAATAGGCTAATGCGCCAGACCCTCCACAGTGACTTTATGTGCACAAAATTGCTTACCTATGTTCTAACACTGGGTTGAACAGTGAAGGAAACACAACTGCAGTTAGTAATTTAGATGTCAGTTTTGATACACAGAGCAATTAAGCTGAGTAAAAGCAGTTCTTTTGAATGCAGAAGAAAACTTCATTCAATATAAATCAGACAAAGCAGTAATACTCAGTGATACAGGACACTGAAATGCACACCCACTCTCACAAAGGCAAAACCTGATCACTTACCTATTAAGCTCATGAACCATGGAGGTATCTCTGTGACCCCGCATTACCATCTGCTGTTCTTTAAGCTGCTTAGCTACCTGTCAAAAGAAAATTAACAACAAATTTTTTGACTAACAAATTCTTAATATCTCAGTGCTTACTATCTACTGGGTTCCACGTGAGGTGTTCTTCTATACAGGAAGTAATCTGAGAACCTTGAAGGGGGCAGGCAGTGTCCGAACGACCCCATTAAACCTGAGGTTTAAATGCTGTGTGGCTGGTTGTTAAGCAGACAGGACCCAGTGTATCTCAGTACTGCTTGCACTATCCCCTCTCTGAAAAAAAAGCAAAACTAAGGCAGAGGAACTGCTGGGTACGCTGAGTTGTGGAGGGTGGCACACAGCAGTGATATCTGAGAATGACTTACTTTCCAGGAACTAATTTTTGGCCCCTTAGGGATGACACAGGCTTATGAAGAATGTACAAATAAAGGTTTACATTACAAAAGAGTGTATTGATTTGACAATAAAAAATAAGGCATTTTTTTCAAAATAAAAGTCATTATTTTCAAATCAACCAAGCACTTACATCTTTGGCAGAGGAACCAGACACCTCTATCCAAGTCTTAGAAAAGAATGCACAGGATCCCAACATGAAGATAATGTAAACGACGACGTGGACAGGATCCTCAAATATGGCACCCATGGACTCTGGCGGAGAAAGATAGTAACAGAGGCCTCCGACGGGGTAAGAGCGGGCAGGGCCTCCTCCACTGACGTCCTGTGAAGCAACAGCGAAGAGGACAAAAGATCAAGCCCCGCAACTTTTATGACTTCAGACTTCTCACACTGACAGTGTCTTAAGACCAAAGCTACTATAGCCAATGCTTTTAATTCAAAGAGCTTGCTTTCCATCTAATTATTTCACTCCATCAAAATTATGACATTATAAATATGTTAACAGAAAAGCAATTTTTAAAGCTACAAAATCTTCCTCTCATAATATAGACAGGACTGTTACAACATTTACCATGAAACTTATTCCATGCAGAATCTGGATTTTCTGAACTGACACTCAACGTTTTAAAGATCCTTATATACAATTCTGCCATTTGGAAGTGTTAAAAATACAATGTAAATACTGACAAGCAACCTAACAATTTGCTGCCCAAACTTACATGTTTTGCATATTATTATAAGGAAAAGTGTTTTAGCATATATCTAGAACAATGGATTTTTATCCACATAAACATTCAAGCAAAAGAAATAGAATAGCATATCTTTGGTCATATGAAATTAAAAAAAAGTAGAGGAAATTAAAAAAAAATTGGGTCACAATGTTTAAATATCTGGTTCTTTACGGTTTTCAAATGAATTTTTCACCATGCTCCTCAAATTACTAATCCCAAGATGAAAGCTCTGAGTATAAACAAATTTAATTTTCAGATAATTCTCTCATTTAAGACCATCTTATGCAAGGTCAGCATTGTGGTACACCAGATTAAGCTGCAACTTAATGTGGAAGGAAGTCAGACACAGTGCATTTGATGTCTAATTCAGAATTGTTAAATACATGCTTATCACCAGCCCAGGAAATCATAGGCCAGTTTACTGCTACTCAGGCCAAGGAAAATGGAGGGAAAAGATGAAAGTATACCATATATTAACAAGCAGCTTTAAAGGAGAAGGAATATTATTTCAGACACTAGTGAAATAAGACTACAAAACAGAAAGTCACTTTCATGAAAGCAATGAAGAGTTTAGTATAAAAGGTCATTGAAATGAGGTAAGAAAATGCTTCCTAGAAAGTAATAAAATACCTGACCACTGATTGCTTTAAAAGACTTACAGATTCTTCTAGGTAAATAAAAAAAATTCTGCTATCAATAAGTAAGATGGAAAATATTATATTAACTATTTCTGTGTCTCAGGAGAAAAATAAATCCATGAAATAGAAATTATACTTACAGCCCACTGTCCTAGTAAATTTACTAAGAAGTTGCCACTAAATCGAACAGACAGCATCTGGGAAATCACATACAAGTTTGAAACTAAGGCCGACTGAAGGATAATGGGAATGTTTGAGGTGTAGAAGAGTTTGATGGGATAGCTACTATATTGTCCTCGATACCGGGCTGACTTAATGGGCAAGTCAACACGAAATCCCTACAAAACAAAATTAGGAGCAAATTAGAGAATGAACCGCACATATAAATACAGACAAAAGAGAGAAAATAATTAACTGCATGGAGCATAAAAAGTCAATACTAACCCCCAAAAACTCTCCTGCCTTGGGTAGACTTTAAAAATCATTTTTATGATTGTCATTTTGCGGAGCAGTTAGGATACCTATATCCCATATTACAAAAGCTGCAAATCCTGGCTCCACTTCCAGTTCCAACTTCCTGCAACTGTGCACCCTGGAAGGTACTTGAGTCCCTGCCACCCACATCTGCCTGCTGGCCTCGTGCTGCCTCAACCCCAGCCACACAGCATTTGGTTTAGTCAAACCAACGGATGGAAGATTTCTGTCTGTATTTTAAACAAATAATAAAAGTTATAAAAGTCTGCTTTAAACCCATTTTCTATGACATAACCGCCATTATTTGTCACCCTAAGACAAGCAACTAACAAATGGAATCGTTTGAGTAACTCCTTCTGTTTTTCTTAAGATTTATTTATTTTTATTGCAAAGTCAGATATACAGAGAGGAGGAGAGACAGAGAGAAAGATCTTCTGTCCGATGATTCACTCCCCAAGTGGCTGCAATGCCCAGAGCTGCACTGATCCGAAGCCAGGAGCCAGGAACTTCCTCCAGGTCTCTCACATGGGTGCAGGGTCCTAAAGCTTTGGGCCGTCCTCGACTGCTTTTCCAGGCCATAAACAGGGAGCTGGAAGGGAAGTGGGGCTGCCGGGAATAGAACCAGTGTCCATATGGGATCCTGGTGCATTCAAGACGGGGACTTTAGCCGCTAGGCCACCACACCAGGCCCCTTGAGTAGCTCTTGAAACACTGACTCGTTAAGGCACTGGCATCTCCAATGGCATTCTCAATGTTAAGAGCAAAATAAACATTCATATGCAACTTACTTCATCCAAAAGATGGTATTTACCTGAAAATAGATGACAACAGCAAACACGAAAACTGTAGCAATGAGGTTCATGAGATTGGGTAAATTCTGACGATAAAACGCCTCCCTCAGAGCTCGGACTTTGTCTGTCCTGGTGGCCAGCAGGTGAAACAGTGCAATGACTGCTCCCTCAAACTCGGTGCCTAAGAAACCAAGACCAAGGTGAACCATGAGCTTGCCAGGCAGTCATTCGCAATCAAAGCACATCACCTGAGACTCTACATACAAGAGAAACTACACATCCAAACAGTTCACCAGGGTTTGCCATATGACACAGCCACATACACAGGGCCTAAAATACTTATTATTGAGGCAAATCTATTTTAACATAAATCTGAGGTTTTCTCAAGAGACTACTCTTGATGAAAACACCCAAAATAACATTTACCAAAGCAAGGAACTCGAAGATTTGCCTCTCATTTACTTTGGAGAAAGGAAGAATATTCTTAGAAAAAAAAAAACAAAATAGCAGCAGCAAAGCAGAAGAGAAAAGGTGAGAATCCAAAGACAACAGTACTCTACCAAGCTTGCCAGCAAGCTTCTTGTACCAAGAACATTAAGAAACTCTCATTACTATTTCCTTAATACGGGGATCACAGTGTGGATGGCGAGCAATGAGACTACTGGGGCATGGCGGCTGAGAGCAGTGTAAGGGGGAAAGCTGAATGAAATCTTTCAAAACTTAGGTGCCATGGCAAAGCCAATCAGAAGAGCAGCCAAAGTAATCATGCTCCCTGAGGATACAATAAACATCAAGTTTTTCATTTGGAAAATCTGAATTCACCAACTTCACATCTTCTTAAGAAGGCTGATACCAATCAAACATATGACTTGTCCAGCAAGCGCTTAAGCAAGATGAACAAACAGAAGGTCTTAAAAATCTGTTTGCAACCACTGTAATTTTAGATGAGCAGAGGCTAAAATTTAGAAATGCTGTTTTTTGAAGTGGTATGAATCTGTTTTCTTAAGTTTTGAACAATTAACATTCTTTGTCCCCAGGGCTAGCAAACCGGACCGACCGGCTACAGGCAGGTCGTACTACACTATGGACTCGCTCTCAGCACACATCCAGCAAAACTCGTGCAGTTGCAGTTGCTGTGCAATGTACCTCTGCCAGTGTTAATGGTAGTGGGACTAAAGGCCTTCCAGACAATGGTCTCACAGATGTTGGTGGCAATAAAGAGGGAAATCCCAGACCCCAAGCCGTAACCCTTCTGTAGCAGCTCATCTAACAGCAGCACAATCAAACCAGCAACAAACAACTGTGGGGAGAGAAATGCAAGTGAGCTGAAGCAAGAACAAACTCAGCAAAGGGGGGGATGAACACGCTGGCTCTTTCCAAAGGCCCAGCGTTTTTAATAGGGAGGCCACACTGTTGCACTCTCTCTCTACCTTGACTATCTGCTGTAGTTTAATCAGAAGCCAATTCTGAAAATTAAAGGCCTGAAAACAATTCAATTATAAAGCAGACATTTCAACCACTAACACATGTTCATATCTTCTGGACAGTTTCCCCTACAGTTTAAACATTGCCTATTCATAAAGCACACTGAATGATAATCAGAGTTGCAGAACTTAAGGCAGCAAGATCCGAAAACATTCCCAAATTCCTCCAAGTAAGTAAAAGACCAAGTTAATTATGCTGTAGTAATGAGATGTAGTTGTATAGTGATATTAATGGTAAATATAAAGACCATGCTGATACTTTTTAAAGTTACTATATATAGTATCAGTTATATATGATAGTTAGAATACATCAACAATAAGAGCTAAAACTTACATGTACACTGATTGTAACAATGGAAAAATGCATTTGATACTTAGAATGACAAATGAATACAAATTCAAAGTTAAGAATTCATCAGGTTCTTAAGCTTATAATGTTTTAAAGCAATGAAAGCGGACTAATTTTGGCACTGAAAATTCTTAATTTCCTTTATGAAAAAGACATTTCTGAAAAGCACACATCCATTAAACACTCCATAGTCTTGGAAGTCATCGACCCAGTCATCTGATTCCATGCCTGTGCTTGAGCAATCTCATCAAGCCCCCAGTCTCTGTCCCTGAAGAACAGACATCCTCCAGTAGAGCAAGGTCACCCCTCCCCCCTCCAAATTCAGGCCCTTTCCATGCAGCACCTGTCAGAGACGACAGGGCTACATGACACCATTTACAGCATGCTTACCTTGCACAATGCTGATTGTTCCTTAAGTGCATTTCAGTGGCTGCACGCAGCCTGACTTGTCTACTTACAGTCAGTTTGACTTTGAATGAACTGAAAAAAGGGACAAGTCTCAAAACTTAGAGACCCTGCTAACTCTTCACTGAAAACCAAGTTGGACATTTTGACAGTTACAACCCACTACCAGATTTTATTTTCATCATGATTACATTCTGAGGAAACAAACATTCTCAATCACAAACACAGAAACCAATCACACACAGGGAACAGTAACTCCACAAACTGTCAGTCACAATACCATTATCACATTAGCCACATTAGCATTATCAAGGGCTTCTAATAACGGACTTGTCCAAAGGTGCAAAGCAGCTCTGAAACAACTGTCATTCTCCAGATCAAGTCAGGTCTGTGTCAATCAGACAACAGAGTAACTCATAAATACCCTGGGTAAACACTTGTGCTTTTCTAATGGTGGGAAAGTATTATAGAGAAATCTACAGGAGAAATGGTTTTTGCAATTGAGGGAATAATAGAGAAGACAGTAAATCCATGTATGCCTGTGAAAAAGGATGAGCAACCAGGAGGCCACAGCAGCAGCTCCGTGGCCACGGCAGTGAGCAAACAGAACACTCTCTGTGTGTTCAAGCGGAATGCACAACACATCTATGCCTCAGCAGTGGTATCAACTGCACACAGGTGCACACAACTGAGCCTGCCAAACATACTCACCTCAACTGTGAGCCATGGACACTGCTGCTTTAGTCACCTTTTTAAAATTTTAATTAAGACCCAGTATTTAAATTTCATTAGTCAAAAAAACACTGACTGGAGGCTGGAACTGTGGCATAGCAGGGTAAAGCCACCCCGCCTGCAGCACCAGCATCTCATATGGACACTGGTTCATGTCCCTATTGCTGCACTTCTGATCTAGTTTCCTACTGGTGCCCTGTTTTGAAAGCAGTGGTAGGTGGCCCAGCTGCTTAGGCCCCTGTCACCACGTGGGAATGCTGGAAGAAGCTCCTGACTCCTGGCTCCTGCCTCCGGGCCTGGCCTAGCACGGGCTGCTGCAGCCATCTGGGTAGAAAACCAGCAGATGAAGCAGCTTTGTCTTTCCCTCTCTAACTTTTTCAAAGAAAAAAAATATATGAATAAAACAAGAAAAAGGTAAGAAATATGTTTAATAACAGCAAGTATCAAAAGCTAGTTTCTAAGTGAAAATACACTGATTCAATCACAACCCTTAGACTATCCACATAGTTTCAATGTTAACACTGCCTTAAAAACACAAATGAATCTCTGCCCACCTCTGATAAATAAGACACATTTCTTAATACATTAGCAGTAGAATTAACAATAACAAATATCTGCATGCCATCATTTATACAAATTAAGATACATCCACTTTACTTTGTCCTCATAAAATATAGTTACTCTTGGATTCCTGAACGCAGAAAATAAACATCAAAGTGAGATATCAATTTAACTCCATAACTGACTCTATAAGAAGTTGACTATTTAACCCTGTATTACTCATTTGAGACTTCTTAAGGAATCTAAACACATCCTTAGAAAAGTTGCTAAAGGAATTTCACTGACGTACAATGTTCTAACAGCTAAAGCCAGTTCTGAATATCTTAAAAATCAGGATTATTCTAATACTGGGTTGAACTGCACCTATGACGATGCCAGCATCCAATACGGGCACCTGTTCTGACCCGGCTGCTCCACCTCAGATCCATTGCTCTGCTAATGGCCTAGGGAAAGCAGCAGCAAATGGCAGAAGTGCTTGAGCCCCTGCCACCCACCTGGGAGACCTAGAAGTTCCTGGCTCCTGGCTTTGGCCTGGCTCAACTCCAGCTACTGCAGCCACCTGGAAAGCGACCCAACAAATGGAAAATATTTCTCTCTCTCTCTTTCTATCTGTGTGTGTGTGTGTGTGTGTGTGTGTGTGTGTCCTTCTCTTTCAAAATAAAGTAAATCTTAAACAAAGAAATCAGGGTTATTCTAAACTATGGGGTACATACAACAAATGCTACAGAGAACACATAAGGAAAAGCTGGCCTATCAGTATCCTCAACAAAAAGTAAGGAAAGAGATCCTAAGCATGCAAGGAAACAAATCAATATCCGAAGTGCCTTCTCTTCCCATCCACTACATCTCTTCTAGCTAACACTCACTGGTTATGAAATTTGCAAGCCAAGTGGTTTACAAATGAAATAAAGGTAATATTACTTTTCAAGAAAATGGCAATTCATCAAAATTTCCTACACTGGTTAAAAAATAAAATATTTTTACTGCATCAGAAAAGGCATCCTGCAATATATATATTTTTTTCCTCTGCAACAGATTTTAACCTGAAGGCTAAAACTCAGGTTAGGACACATGCCATCCCACTTCAGGGTTCCTGTGTTCAGTCCTATCTGCTGCTCTGGCTTCCATCAGATCCCTGTTAGAAAGCTGATGGCTCCTGCCGCCCAGGTGAGAGACCTGGATTTAGTTCCTGGCTCCTGATGGCTCCTGACTGCCAGCCTTTCCAGCCATTGCAGGCATTTGGGGAGTGAACCAATGGATGAAATTTCAATTGCCTGCTTCAAGTAAAAATGATAAAAATAACTGAACAATCTAACTTAACTGTTTTGAACCATGCTCACTGAACCATTCTATTGCAATTGGCCTCTATAAAATGTTTTTTGGGCTAAAAAGAATGAACAACCATGCCAGTCTTGAACAGTCATATTTCTCAGCATATATATAACCAAACGGGTACATTAAATTATTCAAATTATTATTATTTGAGCTTGGGTTTTGAGTAGTTACAACTTACAACCTAAATTAATTCTAATTCTAATTTCATGGTGAAGACAAAAAAGCACATTTCCAAAATAATCACAATGACAGCCTAACGAAAGCTTTTTTCAAACACAAAAAGGAACTATCACATAGCCTAGATACAACCTATTCTTGTCCGTCTTCTCTAAATGGTGATCAAGGATTGTACAACTAAGAAGTATCTTCCAAACTTTATATATTTGAAGATATTTACTAGTGGCAATCACATTGCCCTTTCAAAACTCCATTCATTTAAAACCTTCATGGAATATATGTGCAGGCATGTGTTATTTCACTGATTCTAAGACATTAGCATTTAAAATACCATTCTTTTTAAAAAATAATTAATTAATTAATTAATTAATTAATTAATTAATTAATTTTAATGGAAACTCAGATATACAGAGAGGAGGGGAGACAGAGAAGATCTTCCATTTCTTGATTCATTCCCTAAGTGGCTGCAATGGCAAGTGCTGAGCTGATTCAAAGTCAGGAATCTAGAGCTTCTTCTGGGTCTCCCACACAGATGTGTAAGGTCCCAAGAGTTTGGGTCACCCTTGACTGTTTTCCCAGGCCACAGCAGCGAGCCAGATGAGAAGTGGGGTAGCCAGGACATGAACTGGCACCCATATGGGATCCCAGAGCATGCAAGGCAAGGACTTTAACTAATAGGTTATCATGTTGGGCCCCAAACACCATTGTTCTGTGTACCACTAACAAAGAATACTGCCAACCATCAAGGAACTATTATTTTCCACTTACAAAATAAGATATTTTAGGTATACAAGCTTATCATCTAGCTTGCTGTTTCTATACCTTTCTGTATACACAAAATATTTTTCATTTTTCATAACGCGTTTTTGTAAGACACTTAAACTCAAATTCCTGTTTATCAATTACACATATAACCAACTGATGTAAGGATGATATGAACAGCTATGACCAAGCTGGCACACATGCACAGGCAATGGCAACTACCATGACTACTCTTTGGATAACAGCAAATGTTGGGCACTACTGATTGTAAGAAAGCATCCTGATTTTAGAGACATCAAAATATGAAAAACATAGAATCACTCAAATGCAACAGATTTATAATTTGCATTTTAATAAAGGAAAAGGGCTATCTACAATAAATTATATTCTTATGTCAATGTAACTTATATATATTGCTTTGATAATAAAATATTATAATCCAAAAGTAATGAAATTAATACATTCACAACCTAAACAAACTGTTAAAAAGAAAAAGATATCAAACTGCTTTGTTATCTGCATATGAAAACGCAGGATTTCTTACCTGAATGATGATCAAGAGACAGATGCCAGCACCCATTTCCGCGGGGTCCCCGTACATGCCCGTCATGACATACACAATAGCTTGCCCAATGGTAATGATCATACCAAATACTGACAAAAATTGGGAAGAAAAGTAGTACATGCTTATAGTCAAAGTTGGGAAAGCCACAAAGAATCAGCACCACAAACCCTCTCAGATTTGGAAAAGGCTCAGCAATTGTCAGAATGCTCACATTTCTGGGCTCCATTGAAGAGCGCTCTATCCTTAGGTGTATCACCAACTTCAATGATTTTGGCTCCAGCTAACAACTGCATGATCAAACCAGATGTTACAATTGGGGAGATTCCCAGTTCCATTAAAGTTCCTGTAAAGGAAAGGGAAAGAAGCCCATAGTTATTACTGTACACGACATAGACAAATCAGGAAGCACCTGAGTTCTACATGACACCCACTTAAAGCCAATGCTTCAGTGTTCACAAGCAATCTTCATCCCTGAACTACTAAAAAGCTCTCATTTAAGAATGTAACACTAACATAATCGGATACATTCAATCAAAAGTGTTACACATGGTACTTCACAAAGCACACAGAGCTCACCTTGGTGAAGCCCCCTGAGGCCCATGCACAGCTTTTCATAACACATATTTCCATAACATTTTTCAAGATCCCCCTTAGTATTATGAAAATGCAAATCTGTAAATCAGCTTAAAAGGCTAAAGAAATTCTTTTTTGAAAACCTTCCAAGATTTCTAAAACAGTACTGTAAAAACCCAGGGGGAGAATTTTCTGTTACTGCAGCCAATAAATATCTGCTGCTGTCATTATTTACATACTGGGTTCCTCTCTCAGGCAACAAGTTTCTTCCCTCCCTCCCAGCAGACACTGAAAAAGTGCCATCTCTTTGCTGTCAGCAGCAGACCGCACACCAAGACAAACAGCACATACCTCTGTTAGATGCAAGAATAACTCTCATCCAGTAGAAAGGATCTGCAGAATCTGATGACATGATTCCAAACAGTGGGATCTAAAATAGTACACAAAATACTTAAGAATGCATTATGTAAATGAAATTTGCTCTTCACTGATAATACATTCAGTTAATGTTTGCATTAAAGTTTTAAAGAACAATTTTTCATGTTCCAAAAAAACGAAGTGTATTTTTATTTATAAATAACGCGATCACCGTTTAGTACATTTCTTTTTTTTTTAAAGATTTATTTATTTTTATGGGAAAGGCAGATATACAGAGAGGGGAGAGAGACAGGAGGATCTTCCGTCCAATGATTCACTCCCCAAGTGAGCACAATAGCCAGAGCTGTGGCAATGTGAAGCCAGGAGCCAGGAGCTTCTTCCAGGTCTCCCACATAGTTGCAGGGTCCCAAGGCTTTGGGCCGTCCTCGACTGCATTCCCAGGCCACAGGCAGGGAGCTGGATGGGAAGCAGGGCTGCTGGGACTAGAACAGGCGCCCTTATGGGATCCCAGTATGTGCCAGGTTACCATTTGGTTACCTCTAAGCTACCATGCCAGGACCCACTTAGTACATTTCATTAGTGAATCTTGCCAATATGGAGAGCTATTAGACAACATGAATATACTCCCACATTACTAACATGTACACTTAAATAGAGTAAAACTGGCAACTTGTTATGTTTTTTATCATAGTATATAAAAAAGTTCCCATTGGCAGATTATACATTGACATATGTCTAGTTATAAAGTAACTTTGCAAACCTAAAGACAACTAACGCAACACTCCTAGATGAAGGACTAAAGATGAAAACATCTGCGAATGAATGACAGACACTAAAATGTAAGCTTTAAAACATGCAGTAACATCAGAAAATACTTCTCAATTTGTAATGCGTGGATCCATTTCTGGTTCTAACAATTTAATGGGGATGTGGCTACAACTGAGCATCTTAAAATGCCCAGAACTGGGCCTGGCACGGTGGTGCAGTGGTTAAGGTCCTCGCCTTGCACGCCCGGGATCCCATATGGGCGCTGGTTCTATCCCGGCAGCCCCACTTCCCTTCCAGCTCCCTGCCTGAGCCCTGGGAAAGCAGTCGAGGACGGCCCAAAGCCTTGGGACCCTGCACCCGCGTGGGAGACCGGAAGAGGCTCCTGGCTTCGGATCAGCATAGCATTGGCCATTGCGCTCACTTGGGGAGTGAATCATCGGACGGAAGATCTTCCTCTCTGTCACTTCTCTCTGTATATCCGCCTTTCCAATAAATATTTAAAAAAAAAAAAAAAAGGCATAGAACTGCCCCAAGACAAGACAAGGAAGTATTCACCTTAAATTCAATACTACTGTTGTTAAGAACCCCTGATTTATGGTACTGGCATGGTGGCTCAATAGGCTAATCCTCCGCCTGCAAACACCAGCATGCCAAATAGGTGCTGGTGTGTGTCCCAGCTGTTCTAATTCTCACCCAGTTCCCTGCTTGTTGCCTGGGAAAACAGTGGAAGATGGCCATGTGGGAGGTCAGAAAGAACCCCCTGACTCCAGGCTTCAAATTGCCTTAGGTCTGACCGCTGTGTGCCTGTTTGGGGAATGAATCAGCAGATAGAAAATTTACTCTCTGTCTCTCCATTTCTCTGTAAAAATATGCCTTTTCAAATAAAAATAATTAAATCTTGAAAAAAAAAAGGAAACCCTGCTTTAAAAGTATTGGTACAAAACTATATAAATAAAACAATAGTTCAACATGGTGCAAATTTTTATGGGAAATAAAAGCAGTACCGAATATCTTTCTGAAACTTACAAACCCTAATTATCCCTAGGTGGTTACATAATGACTTTTCTTCATTATCATTTTCTATTTCTACAACAAACATTTGTCAATTTTGAATCAGGACACAAAACCACTTTAACTTCAGACTACATCCTATTATAAACCCAGGTTTAAGATCCTATGCTTGGGTATATGTCCTCTTCAACTACAAGGGGACCAAACACAAAGAAAAATAATTATCAACCTTACTCATCTTCCCTACACGAAGCTGACCCTATTTAAGTTCCAAAAGATGCTACCAGCACTGCAAACAACTCATGCGCTCAGCTAAAACTTCTATGGATGTTTGAATTTATTAGGTGGGTAACAAAACTGCAGAGGTAGGGCCCAGCACATTAGCCTAGAGGCTGAATCCCTGCCTTGCACATGCCAAGATGCCACATGGGCGCCATCTCATGTTCTGGCTGCTCCACTTGCCTTCCAGCTCCCTGCCTGTGGCCTGGGAAAGCAGTAGAGAACGGGTCAAAGGCTTGGTACCCTGTTCCCCTATGAGAGACCCAGAAGAGGCTCCTTGCTCCTGGCTTTGGATTGGTTCAGCTTTGACCCTAGTGGCTCTTTGGAGAGTGAACCAGTAGACAGAAGATCTTTCTCTCTATATCTTCTTCTCTTTCCAAATAAATAAATCTAAAAAAACAAACTAACTAACTAAAAACTGGTGAGGTGTGGTAACTGGTGGATGTCTTATGTGTATGCTGTTGCTACAGATACTCTTAAGAAGAGGGATGAGGAGTGAAGGAGCTATTGTGTAAAATCCAATGAGCCCTGGGAGTGTAGCCTAATACAACCACTATGGAAGTTAGTATGGAGAGTGCTAAAAGAACTGAAAACTGATCTGCCATATGATCCAGCTATCCCACTTCTGGAACTATATCCAAAGGAAATGAAATCCTCATATAAGAAAGTGATCTGCAATCCTATATTTGTAACAGCACAATCTACAACAGCAAACACATGAAAACAACCCAAATGACTGTCAAAAGAAGAGTGAATGAAGAAACTGTGGTACACCTACTCTGTGGAGTACTACTCAGCCATTAAAAATAAAATTCTACTATTTAAAACAAAATATTCCTAACAACATACCATTACACTCAGTGAAATAAGCCAATTACAAAAGGATAAATATCACATGTACCTTCTGACAGGACAATCTGCATCCAAAATACAAGATCAACAGATACATGGGTAAGCATGTATATACACATATTTATATAGAGGAAGTGTATAATGAGGCTAGTATACCATGCACTGCAGCATGCATTTTTACTTCTGAATAAAGATGGATTCCAATGAACTTGATAAATCTATCTTGACACTAGAATGCTGGACTTTATACCATCCTCTATACCCTCAATGTCAGGATTCACTTACATAGCAGAATGACACACTTTTGTGGATGCACTAAACTAAGGTTACAATACAGGGGGAAATAGTTGGGGAGCAGGGAGTGGGGGAGGGCAGAGGGGAAAATCCCTGAGCCCAAGAACTGTATCATGAAAAATAAAGAATTTTTTTTTTAAATGAGGACTACAGTCCGTATTACAGATCTGTCAGTCCAGTTATCTCCCCTAACAGAGACAGCACTAACCCACATGGGGAAAAGGAACAAGGAAAAGCTGGTAACCTCCCCCGAAAGAACTATGTGCCCTGTTTTTCTGTGGTCAATAGGATTACTGCAATCAGCTTCTAATTTTACCTCAGTAAGTTCAATAGTTCGAAAAGATTGTGAACAACAGAAGAGAAGCAACAGACATATTTTATTTTATTTTATTTTATTTTATTTTTTTAGATTTATTTATTTTCATTGCAAAGTCAGATATACAGAGAGGAAGATCTTCCATCTGCTGATTTACTCCCCAAGTGACCACAACAACCGGAGCTGAGCCAATACAAAACCAGGAACCAGGAGCCAGAAGCTTCCTCTCAGTCTCCCATGTGGGTGCATCGTCGACTGCTTTCCCAGGCCACAGGCAGGGAGCTGAATGGAAAGTGGAACTGCTGGGATTAGAACCGGCACCCATATGGGATCCCAGCGTATTCAAGGCGGAAACTTTAGCCGCTAGGCCATTGTACTGGGTCCCACAAATGAGCTATTTTTAATGAACTGGTCACAGTAACAAGAGTTCCAAACCTTGCGTTGTTTAGGAAATAACAAGGAGCAAGCCATTAGCCTGTGGTTATTTCAGGACGCAGAACTCTCAAGAAAGCTAACAGAACCTGAATGGAGGCATTTCCTGTGACTGATCAATTCTGACTGAAGCTTTAACCAGCAACTGCCAGCCAGCATCACAGTTGTTTCAGGATCTCCCATGAGACTTGAACATGCCAAGGAAGCTCAACTACAGCCAATCAACCCACGACCTCTTCATTTGGCTCATCCTAACTTGTTGTCTACATGAACTAGTGGTCGGTGGATCTGATTCGTGAATCTTCTAATGCTCAAACAGAAACTTATTTCTTTTGTCTAAAGTTATTAACTTGACAAAATACAGTACAATACTTCAGAGAAATAAAGCATTCCATGTTAGAGTTGAACCATAAAGTGATCCGATGCAGAAACAGAAAATCAGCCCCAACGATTTCCAAAGGCAGGGAGCACTGGTAAACCAAACAACATTTTTCTGGCTTAGATAGGAAGCTGTAGTGACATTATGAAATTTTCCTCTCTGGGACATAATTTAAAAAAAAAAATTTTTTTTAAGATGTTAAATAATAAAAGTTAACGAATGGAAAAAGGCTACAGCCAAAAACAAACAAACAAAAACAACAAAAACCCTACAGAGCAGCCAAAGAAAACTGATTACCAACTTGAACAACCGGTAGAGTAGGAGGGACCAAGAGACCCAGTTCTAATCTGCTCCTAACCATCACAATGGGACATCAAGCACGCAGCATTCCCATCAACATTCTGAATCTGGAGAAATGAAAGCCACACAGGCATTCCCAGGTTCTCCCTTCTGGATATGGAGCAGAAAGGGCAGCTGAAAACACGGATGGAACCAAGTGGGCAAGAGGGGAAAGCCCCTTCCTCAGAACGGAAGGTTTATAAGAGTCCAAGGAAGCAGACTGGGCCCTCAGTCAGGGTGTAAGCACCCCTCAGCACAGCTCGGATGGACTCAGAGCAACACCCAGCAGCGCTGTCGGCACTCAGCTGACCTCACCTCCCACTCCTTCAGTCTGAAGAAAGGGTGTTGAGCCAGAATCTTTTTATCAGTGGAAAGAGAATCAAGAAATGGCCCACACTGGGCAGAGCTACCGAACTATGAGGAAAGGCAAACACATACCAGTACGTATATGCAGAGAAAAAAATATAAAATGCATACATTAATGTACTAGGAGAAACAGTTATGAACAGTCATTCTTTTGTTGTCTTCCTCTGGGGTTCCTGAGCTACGGCCACAATTTACTATCTGGACCTTTACAGTAAAACATTCACTGGCTTCTGGATTAGAAAAGTCAATATTGGGCCCAGCATAATAGCCTAGTGGCTAAATCCCAGTCTTGCATGCAGTTTGTATAATCACTGCTCTACTTTCCATCTAGCTCTCTGCTTGTAGCCTAAGAAAGCAGTAGAGGATGTCTCCAAAGTCTTGGGACCCTGCAGTGCATGAGAGACCCAGAAGAAGCTCCTAGCTCCTGGCTTTGAATCAACTCAGCTCTGGCCATTGCGGCCACTTAGCCAGTGAACCAGTGGATGGAAGAAGTTTCTCTCTGCAAATCTGCCTATACACACACATACACACACAAAGACAAATCCTTTTTTTTAAAAAGGTTCATTATTGTCCAGATGCAAATTGTATAAATGCATCTGAAAACCATAACCCTTATAATGGCTACTACATAAATGACCAACAATAAGAGCACAACTGAACTCCACTACAAGACAACAGAAATGTAACATGGACAGCCACAGGCAATCAGTAAAGAGGTGGAAATTTCCCATTAACTGGAACATGAATTCACCATTCAACCCAGCCATCCTATCCTGGGCAATCACAGAACAGAGATGGAGAAAAAAAAAACCTCCACAGAAAGACTTACAGGTGAAAGCTTATAGCAACTTTGCTTTGGATCCAAAATCTAGAACCAATCCAAAGCCAAACAAGTGAGTGGATGAATAAACTGTGATATATTCATAGTGCAGAACACTAATCAGAAACAAACAGTAATGAACTGCTAACAGCAACAATATGGATGAATCTCAAACAAGATTATGACGAAGTCAGACATAAAGCATTAATGCACTATGATCCAACTGACATGAAAATCCAAAAAAGACAAACTACAGTAACAAAAAATCAGATCAGTGTTTGCCCTAGACTGGAGCTTTGGGGAGTATAGCTTTGAGAAAAGCTACAGGAACTTCCTGAGGAGGCAAACATGTTTACATCAATTTGATAGTAGCTACTTTGATACACCTGCTTTGTCAAAATTTCAAAAATATGTCTTATAAATGAGCACTGGTGCAGTATAGTATCACAGTAGGTTAAGCTGCTACTTAGGAAGTTGGCATCTCAGAGTACAGGTTCAATCCCATTCTCTTGCTTCTGAACCAACTTCCTATTAACGCACAGGAGAAGGTAGGCAAAGACGAGCCAAGTCTTGGGGGCACTAGCACTCACACAGAAAACCCTGCTGGAGATTCTGATTCTTAGGCTCAGTCTGGCGCAGTCTCAGCACTTGATGCTATTTCAGGAATGAACCAGCAGACAGAAGCCCACTCTTTGTCACTCTGCTTTTCAAACTAATAATCTTGCTTGAAAATAAGTGTAGGGCATGGGTATCTGGCACGGAAGTTAGGCTGTCACTTGGGATGCCTTATCCAGATCACAGGGTCTAAGTTATAGATCAGCCCTGCCTCAGGTGGTTGAAACCTGTCGCCCACTTGACTTCCGTCTGGCCCAGTCCTAGCTTTCACGGGCATCTGGAAAGTAAATCAGAGGATTCAAAATGTATCTGTCTTTTTTTCTTGTTGTTGTATTTTTTGTTTATTTATTTTCTCTCATTCTCTCTTTTTGCATTTGTCATTTGATAAAGAACCATCCACTGGTTCTCTCCCCAAACAGCTGCACAACACGAACCAGCATCCATATGGGATCCTGGTGTGCGCAAGGCAAAGATCTAGCAGCACTGAGACACCGTGCGAAGCCCTTGATTTTACTAATTTTTATTTTATTTTAAAGATGTATTTATTCTTATTGCAAAGTCAGATGTACAAACAGGAGGAGAGACAGAGAAGAAGATTTTCCATCTGATGATTCACTCCCCAAGTGACCACAATGGCCCGTGCTGCACTGATCCAAAGCCAGGAGCCAGGAACTTTCCTCCAGGTCTCCCACATGAATGCAGGGACCCAAGGGTTTAGGCCGTCCTCAACTGCTTTTCCAGGTCACAAGCAGGGAGCAGGATGGGAAGTGGAGCTGCTGGGATTAGAACTGATGCCCATACAGGATCCCGGTGCTGGGCCCCTTAAATTTTATTAATTTTTTTAAAGATTTATTTTTATTTTTATTGAAAAGGCGGATATACAGAGAGGAGACAGAGAGGAAGATCTTCCGTCCGATGATTCACTCCTCAAGTGAGCGCAACGGCCAATGCTATGCCAGTCCGAAGCCAGGAGCCTCTTCCAGGTCTCCCACACGGGTGCAGGGTCCCAAGGCTCTCAGCCGTCCTCCACTGCTTTCCCAGGACACAGGCAGGGAGCTGGAAGGGAAGTGGGGCTGCCGGGATTAGAACCGGCGTCCATATGGGATCCCGGGCATGCAAGGTGAGGACCTTAACCACTGTGCCACCGTGCCGGGCCCAATTTTATTAATTTTTAAACACAAGAAATCACCAAGGTTCTAAAAGTTTGGTTTGGGGATATTTAATACCTGATAAAAGGCAAATTGGAGAAATATTTGTATACATATAAAAATTATTTTTATATATGAAAAAGCTGTCCTAGAGCCTGCCACAGTAGCCTATTGGCTTCAGTCCTCATCTTGCATGAGTCAGGATGCCATATGGACACAAGTTCATGTCCCGGCTGCTCCACTTCCCATCCAGCTCCCTGTTTGTGGCCTCTCTGTATATTTGACTTTGCAATAAAAACAAATAAATATTTAAAAAATAATAATTCTTTATAAAAAAGCTGCCCTAAATCACGAAGAATCGTGTAGTCTCCCCCCTAAAAAAACACCATTATGAAAACAGAAATAAAAAGTGTGAAGTGTTCTTACCTGCTAATAAAAGAGACATAAAGAACAACATAACCATTTTTAATTGATATGGGGGGATCAACATTGTGCTACAGCCACTTAAGCTGCTGCCCACAAAACCAGCATTCCACAAGACCACTGGTTCAAATTCCAGATGCTCCACTTCCCACCCAGTTCCCTGCTAAGGTTTCAGCCTGACCCAGCCCCCAGCTACTGCAACTGACTGGTTCATCAATCAGTGCTTAGAAGATCTCTCCCTTTCTTTCCATCTCCCTGTAATTCTGCCTTTCAGATAGATTAATAAATCTTTTCAAAACAACTCATATAAAAAAAAAATAACAGAGGCTCAGCGCAATGGCTCAGTGGCTAAATCCTTGCTTTGTACACACCAGGATCCTATATGGGTATCCAAGCTGCTTTTCACTCCCCATCCAGCACCCTACTTGCGGCCTGGAAAAATAACAGAGGATGGTCCAAAGCCTTGGGACCCTATACCACATGGGAAACTCGGAAGAGGCTCCTGGCTTCTGACTTTGGATCAACTCAGCTCCAGATATTGTGCCCACTGGGGAGTGAACCAGTGCGTAGAAGACGTTTCTCTCTGTCTCTCCTCTCTGTAAATCTGCCTTTCCAATAAAAATAAATTAATATTCAAATGATTAAATTCCAAATACTCCACTTCAGAGTCAGCATCCTGCTATATTCCTGGGAAGCAGCAAATGATGACGTAAGCACTTGAGTTCAGCTGTTTGGGAGACTCAGCAAGCGTTGTTGGCTCCAGGCTTCAGCCTGGCTAAGCCCTGGCTGTTACGGCTATCAGGGGAGTGAATTAGGATTTCTGGGAAGTCAACCAGCAGGGGCAAGTGCTCTGTCCCTTTCCCTCCCTATCACTCTTCCTTTTAAATAAATATAAAAACAAATATTAAAATAAATAACATTCTCATTATATTTCAGCATATTAACTAATTTTTCCAAAATTTTAACTAAGCAAGACCTTAGAAAAATAGGTACATATTAAAGTTACATACCTGACAACACACTAAGAAAATGAACAGAGTTATAGCAGTCCATAGCACCTTTTCTCTAAACTGGATCTGCACAATAAAACACAAAGATGATCAACTAAAATCAAGAAATAGCAAAGTTAAAGCACAATTCCACATTAAAGCACAACCACCACTTCCAACCATGACCTGTACCTGTTATTTATTTAAAATATTTAAAATGTCCTCCTATCCCTAGTCAGTATCAGCTAAAACTAATAGCTAAACCTCTAGAACATAAGTTTTTTTTTTTTATTTTTCAAAGCATATAAAAAAGTTCAGTACAAGTAGCCCTCATGCACACTGTACTGTGTTAATAGAAACTGAAAAAGACATAAATCAAAATACAAATCCAACATGCATCTGCTGTACTTTTAACACTGTAATATCCAAAAATCAAGGAGTACTCATAATATCATACAAATAACTCACAGACCATAAAAAACCAGAGACTCTTGAGATCTGTTAAAACTAGAACAAATATATTTACCACCTCAAAGCAACAGGAAGAAACATATTTATAAATCAAATATAAGCTTAATAGCAGTTTTACCTATCTCGTTCTATGTTCCTGTTCTTACTACTTTTACAAGAAACTGAACATATATGAGAAGAATGTCTGGAAACTAGTTCTGAACTAGCATTAATTCTGGAACTTAAATACGTTGGCTTCTAAATATACAATGATAGACTATCGATTTGGTCCAGTCACAAGATCTCTGCAATGCAATCTTGTCATTTCTCTTTGCAATGAATGAATCAAGAAATGCAAGGTATATACACTGTGCCAACGCAATTCCTTTACCTATGACAGCAGTACCCATCAAAACCCAACTAGCAGCTGGGGTCATTCAATCTGATGGATTCCACAACCCATATCCTAGCCTAAACAAATTACAAAGGATCATATTAAGGCAATATTGTATCTTTTATAACACAGAGACCAAAGAAACACTTGATGGAAAAAGGAACTGCTTAAAGAACAGTCATGGTTGACAACATAAGACAACCTACCCAGACTCAGTTTGACTCACTTTATGCATCTTAAAAGGACAATGTGTGGGGTAATAACTTTTCAGTTACAACCAGAACAAAGGTATACAAAGCAAAGCAATCTTGCTGGTTTAGCTGGGTAAGTCATTAAGATATTTAGCTACATTCCACATTACTAAAATACTATACTTACTTTCCTTTCAGGTTTCTGAATTTCAGGTAGAACTGCACAGAAGGGTTTGATAACTTCTAAAAATTTGACTGTTTAAAAAGCGAGAGAATAAATGTCCCCATTAAAAAAGAGAAGTATCTTTTCACAGAAGCAATTACAAATATTCTTTTACTTTCAATAGACTCATTTCATTCCACTCTACCCCAAATAAAATAATCATCATACTTTCCATTTCAAATTAACAAGAAAAATGTTATAACGGACAAAAGAACTCAAATGGTTGGAGGATGCAAAGTAATCCAAGGATCCTTCCATCACATCTCTGCTTCCAGTCCTGCTGGATGTACAGGAAAGGTTGTTCTAAGAGCATCAGAGACATCAAAGTAAGACGAAATGCAGCCTACCACGGAATCCACAAAATAATGCATTCCAGATAAAGGCAGGTGAGATAGTGACACCCTCACCTCCGAGGAAAAGCGCCATAGAAAATGGGTTTAAACAACTGACAGCTTGGGGCTTCTCTCTTAAAACCCCCTTTACCTCAGATACATGGAGGAAACAAACAATATGGAAATAATAGTCTTACCCACTTTCCTATAGCCCTTGAACCTTTTTACCCGAATTAACTATGTGAAGACTGTAAAAAAATACAATTTAAAAAAAAAAACTGACAGCTTGAACAACTCAAAGATGCCCAAGTAAGTGAGGAAATCAGCTCCCAGAGTTAACTTTGTAAGCGGGACCGTCTCTGCTTCAGTTCCTTACGCCATAGGTCACTTGCACATAGATACATGACTATTTGCTTATGTGCAACTGTCAACCCACAGAATGACCATCACATTTCACTGCTAAGTAACATTTCCCCAGATAGCTCTTGCAAGATAGAGGTCAGATCAGCCAGGGGTTTTTGAAGACTGACACTGCTTTCTGGCCTGGCTTATGGTAAATCCTACCACAGAACCAGAGGATCCAAATGCCCCACTCTCAAGCCAAAAAGACCTGTGCAAGTACAGAAACACAAGCCCCATTGGCTGGCCGTGAGTCAGGGTCAGCTTCCTCTCCAGACCCCGGATCTCGCTGGATCGGCTGGATTCCAAGGACTAACATCCAGCAACGGTGCAGCCGACGGGAGTGATTACACTCCACTGGGTTAGCCCAAAGTCGACCACGATGTCTTTTTAAAAAACAACAGCAACCAAAAGCTCTCAGGACGATGTTAGTCAGCTCCTGTTTGATAGAAGAATTCATTATTGGGCACAAGTAGAGGTCTAACCAATACACACCACTCTGGACTTTAGGAAAGCAAATCAGAATTATCATTTCCTTTTAATGCAACACAGGTTTGAATCACATCAGGAAACTCCCTGTACCCTCTCTTACTCTTATTCCTTCCCACTTCAAGCCAACCATCCGAGTCCCCTGGCAGTGTGATCGGTATCTATTAGGTTATTCCTGTCGGAGAAATGTTCTGTCCACCACGCGTCTGTCATACTACGGGAAATCATCCATCATAAGGTAAAATCAAAACCAAGGGTCTCTTCTAATTCCTGTCCAGTTTTCTCCCAATGTCCACTAGTTGGCCAACGGGTGCCAGTACCAGGCACCAAGAAACCTATGAACAGGTCTGTGAGCGTGTGTGTGCGCGCAGGTGCTGCGCGGAGAAAGATTGTTGAGTATTTAGAGGTGGGCCCTCAAAAGACATCTTTAATGCAAGGCCTTGTCCCTTAAGGCTTACACGACCTCATAGTTTTAAGAAAACGCTACAAACTCCTGGAACGAGGATTCTGAGGCAAAGGCCGGGTACCGACCCTCAACTCCTTTCCTCTCCTAAAGCACACGCTTTTCAAAAAATTAACCGAGTTGGCGACCGCTACTCAGCACAAGTAATATGTCCAGGCAGGCTTGACTCGCAGCAACAACCTTAAGCAGCAAAAGTGGTCCAGCCTGCCTTGAGTGCCCGGACTCCCCGCCCCGCAAACCAAGGGCCTCCTCGCGCCATCCTCGCGACCCGGGGGCCTCCGCGTGCCGGTCCCCGCCGCCGGCCCGCGCCAGGCCTCGCGCCACCGAAGGAGCCCCGGGCCAGGGGGCCTCCCGGCGGCCAGCGCCCTCCGCAGCGGCCCGAGGCGGCCCGCGCATCCCGCGCCGCACACCGGACAATTCCGTCGCCCGCAGCCTTCCCGAGGCCCGCGTCCCCTCTGCAACCGGCGGTACTCACTGCCCATGGTGGCGGCAGGGAGGAGGCCCTGCGGAGCACGGCGACCTCAAGGATGCCTGCGCCCCACTCCCGCGGCCCACCGCCTCGGCGCCCGCTGCTCCCGCGCAGGCTCCGCCCCGCGCCACGTGACCCGCGCTCGCCCCGCCCCCAAGCCGGGCCCGGCGGTTGGCGGACGTCCGCCGCGTTGCCATGGTTCCCACCGGGCCTGCGGCGGGGCGGGGCTAGCCCGCGCTGGGGGCGTGTCCCGGGCGGGCTGCGGGGCGGGCCGTGATTGCCCATTCTGCACCCTGCAGCCGGCCTCGGGGTCCTGGGCGTCCCTGGGGGCAGGCAGGGATCCCGGGTGTCTTGGAAGAAGCAAAGGCTCTCAGGGTTTAGTCCCAAAGACTTGACGCAGGATCGAACCAACGTTTTTATTTCGCTGTACTTTGTTGTAACCTTAAAGAAATGTGTCAAAATCTGTAACGCATTGCGTGCCATAGCTTAGGAAAGCCTGTGTCCCCCTTAGTCTTCCCCAAGTCCTCAAACCCCCCAGGTGGGCTCCTGGGCTTCCTGCTGGGCACTTGAATGGCTCCTTTTGGTTTCTTCCCGCGTGGGCTGCGTGTCCCTCACAGGAAGGATCAATCCCATAAAAACGCCTCTGCTTCCCTTTGAATGCCTTGGGCAGTTAAACGTTTCTGTGCCCCATTGGTAAAATAAGGACAATTATACCTACCTGCTAAGAGTGTGAATATGACCTAAATTCAAGAAAAGCATATGAAGACCCTTGAGTTTTACTTTCCTTCCTCCCTTTTTAAACCATCATATTCTTAACTCCCATGCTAATGGGTGGCTGAAAAATGAAGATTTCAAAGGAAACCAATGAGCTGTGCGATTTAGGAAGGATGCGATTTAGGTTGCCCTTGCAGGGGTATCCACCATTATTAGCTAGAATTTTAACCCTGGGAAGTTGGTATTTGATACCTCTGCTCAGAGAGGCTCCTCCACGTAGGGGGCAGGCCTTGCCATCATGGCCGAAGTTTACTCCTAGTATGGTAGCTGGCTGCCAAGGGGTGTTCTTGGAAGTGGTCAGGCATTTCTTTACTGCAAGTGTTTCCTTAGCAACCACCAAGACGTGCTTAATGCCTGGGAGAGAAAACATACACTGCCTCCAGGTGAAGAGAGTGAGAAGGAGCTGGAATAGCAGGTGGGATTCCAGTGACCACTTTTAGGGCTGTCACATTGCCCATCCTTTGAACTCATCCTTGCCTCTATTGTATAATAGTCACGGAAATCTAATCTCACATAGTAGAATTCCAGATGGGAGAGAGTGTTTCATTTAGCTATCATCTGTAATCACCAGAAATGATCAACTTCAATATAGTTTTAAAAGGATTATTTATTTGAAAGGCAGAGTGAAGAGCCTACAGCTCCAGCCAGGTCCCCTATATGGATGGCATGGATCCAAGTACTTGGACTATTATCTTCTGCCTTATTAAGCTCATTGGCAGAGAACTGGGTTGGAAATGGACCGCCAAGATTCTAACCTGCACTCCAACATGGAATTCTGGCCAAAATGACTAGTTCCTTAGATATAGTTTCACATTAGATTGTGAGTTAACTTCGTGAAAATGTTATCCTTTCAATAAAGATGAACTAATTTGAAAATCTGACCGAAAGGGAAGCATTGGCACTAGTAGCATGGCAGAGCAGCTTAAGCTGCCACTTGCAGCACTGGCATTCCACATGCCATGCATAAGCATGGATGCTAGCTGTCTCACTTTCCTTCTAGCTCCCTGCTAATGGCCTAGGAAAGCAGCAAAGGATGTCCAGGACCTTGGGCTCCTGCACCCATGTGGGAGACCAGGAAGAAGCTGCTGGCTCTGGGCTTCATCCTGGCCCAGTCCCAGAAGGTGACCATCTTGGTAGTGAACCAGCAAATGGAAGACCTCCATCTCTCTTTACTTATATCTTTCAAATAAATCTTTAAAAAATAACAACCCCCAAAAAGCAGACAACCATAACTTTTTGTTAAAAAGAGGAAGGAGGTAAAGATGTGATGAGTAGCCTTGGCTACTGTACCCACCTTGGCTATCTCTTTCTGGGGTAACTGATGGTTGAAGTAAGAGGTGAGTAACAGGATGAATTCCTCTTCCACCATTCTTCAGTCTTTCTATCACTAAACTACTCAGGTCTTCCCCTTGTGTAATCACAATATGCCTCCCAATCTATATCAGGAATATCACTCTAGTTGGAACCCTTCACACTGTCTTAGCACTTCTAACAAGAAAATCCCTCTAACTATAAAATGTTCAGTCTTCTCAGATTGTTACACCATTGAGGACAGCAAGCATTCCATTCACTCTTTCATGTATTTCCAAAGTCCAAACAAAGTAATATAAATAGAATAGGTCTTCAATAAAGTATGTGTGAACGAAACACCACTCTGTCCTCTTTTTAAAGATTTATTTATTTGAAATGCAGAGTTCAAGAATCTTTCATCGTTTGCTTCACTCCCCAAATGACAGGGATCCAAGCACTTGTATCATCTTCAGTTGCCTTCCCAAGCACGTTGGTAGGATACTGGTTCTGAAGTGGAGCAGCTGGGACTTTAACAGGTGCTCATAAGGGATGCTGGCTTCACTGGCAGCAGCTTACCCCACAGCACCATGATGTCAGTCCCTACACTACTCAAAAAGAACCTCTTCCTGCTTTTCCTCAACTATAGCTGATTTTCCATATGAATCAGGGAAGGCAAAGGAATAATGCGAAAGTGATATACAAGATTCCTAAGATGAACTAATTTTGTCACTGGCAGTGGGAGATGAGTCTGCTTTAGCTGGTGCTTGATGTCGGATTTAAATAAAAACTTGACAATGAATTATTATTTCCTTTTTAAAAAAAATTTACTATTTCCATAGAGCAATATAAGATTTAAACATCTAAATTTCCATTCAAGTTAAGATCAGCTTAGCTTGAATCCTATGAGAAGCTGAAGAGAGATGACCAAACATCCAAGAACATACAAGAGAATATAGGTAAAGGTTATGGGAATTCAAGACTCAAATGTAGTGATTCTTAATCAGTAACTTTCTTCCTGGGCAATTCTTTATTACCCAATATTTATAAGAGAGATTTGGGTTCCATTGTCAGTTAAAGAATTTAAAACACAAAAAAATCAAAATAATGCAATCAGGCTTAAGACACTTATGTTTCAGAATAATTTCCCCAAATAGCATATATCTGAAAAACTTAACAAATTGGTTCTTACAATGTTAAAGATCTTATTTACTAAGAATGATGTCCCATTTTTTCCTCCTGTAGTTGCAATTATTTCCACTCATTGAATACTCAGTATAAGCTGTTTTCTTCACTGGACATGCAACTAGAACAAAGAATAGTAGATACAGATAACAGATATAGCTAGGATACAAATATCAACATTACTTAATTTCTAGGAGGAAACAAAGTAAAATAATGAGTATTTGAGTTGTGAATCTTCAAATAGCCCTTTGCTGCAAAGTAATGCAGATTGCTGACCTGTCCTGCAATAGAGATTGAAAACAAGAAGGTTATGATGACAGAACACAGTTTATGGATCAACTTAGAGAAGTTGAAATTACAGAGAAAGTTACAAAAGTAAAATTACAGAGGAATTGGGAAAGATTTCCACTAAATTAAAACCAAAAAAAAGTCTTCCAACCAATTTGGTGCCTAAGCTTTTGAGTTATTTTAATTTAAGAAACCAACAGATCTGAAAAATAAAATGTCATTGTGCTTTAATCTTTTCTAGTTAAATATACAATGTGGATAACCATTCTCATTAAATAGGCTTTTGCAATTTTATTGATTTCCATACTAGAATGGTGCTATGCTACATGATTTATAAACCTTGACACAGGAAGCATTGAGGTATGTAAGTGCAAGAAAAAAAGGGTTGTGTGTATTGTAGGAATATTAAATCAAGGCACTAATATGCACTTTCAGATCTGAATCATGAAATCTTCTGTAGATGGAATAATCTATAATTTGAATCTGAAAGTCATGGAGTTACATATAAAAGCAGAAAGGACCCATGCCCACCCCAGCCTCTAATATTTCTCTATACTTTCTGAGAAAAACAGTCTCAAGACACAAGAATGGTGGATGGCAAAGGCTCCACAGCACCAGGTTAAATTTTGCAGTTTGCTGTTCCATTACCAGTTTTGAGCAGAAAAGACTATGGCAAAACAAATTTTGATTTCACTATAAACAAATTTCACTAATCTACAACTCCTTAATTTAAAAATACAAGATCATACACCTAGAAATTTGTTATTTAGTAGGATCTAGATTTAAAGGTGAGGAACAAACTTTTGAAGAATACACATCAAGAGTGATCAATTCTGCTAGTGTTTGCTGAAACATTTTGCAAAGTGGCTGAAAAAGCAGCCCTAGAGAGTTCATGAAAGGAGGATAGGACCTTTAAGAAGGAAAGAAAAGTCAACGAAAGTTACAAGCATCACAAAAATCAAGAACCAGGGTTGAGGTCACCTGTATGTAGCTCTAAATTTAGTCTTAGAAACTTTTCCAGGCCAAATATATTTGATTAATTAGAGTGTAGCCTGAAATCATCAAGATAATGACCCAGTTCTCCAAGACAAATCTAACCACACATAATGCTTGTACTTTTAAGGATAAAATTTCCTGGTCCAATTTGTGTATTTGTAACTGATTCCCCTACTTTATCCTACCTTTTCCAGATTAACCTGTCTGCCTCAAACCCACCATCTTGGGGGAATCTGTATCATGTCTCCTAGGAGACATCAGGAGGGTAGAGGAGGTAGGCCTTTCTTATACCAGTCTTCTTCAACAGAAGCAGTATTTCTTCCAAGGATGTCATCAAGCAAAGGTCTCCCTGAGGACATGTTCATGCTGCTGTAGGTGAACCATACCAATCCCCACAGCAGGTGCTGGCAGAGGGGGTCGGCTCACAAGACGGAGCTGTCATTGGAACAGAGAAAAAAAATGTCAGTCATTTTGACTTGATCATACCTCTGCTCAGTTATCAACAAGAAGGGATATCAATTTGCCTTAGTTTATTTAATCATAAATCACTTCTTGGGGAAAGTAAGAAGCAGCTTGGAATAAGTTGGAGGGAAGTGAATGTCATCTCTAGTAACTAGCTAAATTCTAGTCATGATAATAAGAAGAGACAAGGTCATGAATTTATCCTGTCTTGGGTAACGACCGCTTTTGTTTTAGCTGTGTGGATTCCTTAAATAGAAATACTAATTCGTGAAAACAATTTCAGCCCAGCAGACTAATATCAGAGGAGTGAGCTGAGTTCTAGTTCTAGCATAATATAAAGATCTACAGAACTGCAGTTGTCTTACTGTTCTTCACTTCCTAACAATCAGTCAAGAATTAAACCGGTGTTTACACACAGACACACACACAGGAAGAAGGCAGGGAGAGGAGTATTACCTTGCAAGCCAGTTGCTTCTCAAATCTTGGAGAAACAAAAAACCATGGGCCCATGTTCTGAGGTTCCTCCTGACTCCAAATAAAGGCTATATAAATGTGTATATTAAAAAAGAAAAGTTTATTTGAGTACCCTAAGTAAACATAGAAAAAACAGAAGATATCCAACCTCAATTAAATATGCTTTTCCACTATGACATAGCACTGCCTTTGTTTTTCCTGAAAACACAGTCTGTGTCCACCACCACAATCATAACACCAAACCAGCTCAGCAACACCTTATTTAGCTTGTCCTGCCCCCTTTGTAGCCAACTTCCCTAACTCACAGCCAACTGGCCAAACACCCATCTTTTCTACATCCCAACCATTTTCCCTCTATTTTAAACGTTATTTATTTATTTATTTATTTATTTTCATTTAAAATTTTTATTTCAATATTTATTGCAAAGGAGAGGGTGTTACAACCCATATAGGCCTCAATTCTGGTAAGGACAGAGAGGGTGAGGGAGAGGAAAAGCTAGGTGAATAAATGTTTCAGTTTTCCCTCCTGCTTTCATGATATGTGAAGGAGAAGAAAGTGTGCCACTCCTTGCAGTCATACTGTATCAGTGACACCATATCAGTGCCATATGTATAGTCACTTGAGGCCTTGATGTGGGGAAGAATGTTCTAAGGGTGTTACTTGACTGGTCTTGATTTTTCTGAGAGATTGTCAGTTTTGTTACACAAGAGGTGTGACATTCTTTATAACGCCTGTTGACCGTTCTTTTTTACTTCAGGGTGTCCACAGACCTAGGTGCCTGTTGTAGAACCTGGCCTGGAGTGTTGTTCAAATTGTCCTGTCTATCTTTTGATGAGGTACTCCAAATCTTCTGTTGACTTAGATGAGCTGACTGTCTTGTGTCTCATGTCCATCTGAGCATGCTCTCCATTCTTGCATGAGGGTCAGCAACTGCAATGTGTATTCCAGGATCAGATCTCATGTCAATGTGCTGCTTCCTGAGGTCAGGGATCGAGTGCAGTGGTCTAGCTGGGGAGCCCCTAAGAAATCTCATCTGGGAGGTCTTCAGACTTTGCCGGCTAGTGTAGGGTTGGGTGAAGTTTGCCACCAGCACCACCAAACATACATACCAACAGCTGTGGCTGCCTAGTCAATCCCACCCACAGCCCTGGCTCTCATGCACATGGCGGGTACTATAGCCTACCCTGACCCAGCCCACTCCCAAACCTGGCTCTCATTCACACTAGCAGGTGCTACAGGATAATCGAGATAGCCCTGCATAATTCCTAACTGGCCTGCCCCAGCCCTGAGTTTTCATGCATTCCTGTGGGTGCTATAGCATAGCCCAACCCACTCAGTTCCCAGCTACCCTTCTTGCGCCCACCAGTTGATGCTGCAGTCTAGCCTGAGCTGGCCTACCCCCAACCTGTGTTCATGCACACTGGTGGGTGCTGCGGCTTAACAAGGGTGTCCCCAAAAATCTCTTTCCAGGTCTTCCCCAGCTGCAGCTCTCACCCATTCTGGGGAGTGGTATGGCCAGCCTAACACAGCCTGCCCCCCCATCTCCCTGGTATTCACCAGCAAGTGCTGTATCTTGGCCTAGCCCAGCCTGGCCCCAATCCCAGCTCCTGTTAAGTGGCCTAAAATGACAGCCAGCTTTTCACTGTTTTCTCCCAGCCAGTATAACACTTGCCTAGGTACAAGGCAACCAAGGCTGCTGCCTAAAGCTGGAGTATTTATTTATTTCCATTTGAAAGGCAGAGAGACAGAGGTCTCTCATCCACTAGTTCACTTCCCAAATGTTCACAACAGCCAAGGCTGGGAACTCCACTTGGGATTCCCATGTAGGTGACAGAGACCCTAGTCCATGAGATATCTGCTGCCTTCCCAGGTGCATGGCTAGGAAGCTGGATAAGAATCAGAGTAGCAGGAACTCAACTCGGGCACTCCGAAATGGGATGCAGATGCCCCAAAAGGTGTCCTAATCACTGGGCCAAATGCGACTACTGTTGGAGTGCTGCCTTGCTCAAAATGTCATATAAGTGGATTCAGCTAGTCTGAAATCTTCTGGTCCTGGCTTCCTGGAATAAGCACAGTAGATGCGTGATCCCTCCATGTTATAGACAGCAGTAATTTGTGCCTCTTCAATGTTCAACTGTATTATATCAGACAAAAACATCCAACATCATTTATGCATTGACTGACTGAAGGACATTTTGTTTCCAGTTTGGACCAAGTTTGGACCAATTACTTAAAAAGCTGCTATAAATATATGTATGCAGATGTTCCTGTGAATTGTTTTCTCTTGGATAAATCGGAGTGGGATGGTTGGGTTACAGGGCAACTCATTGTTTAACTAAATAAGATGCTGACTATTGTCCAAAGTGGCTGCAACAGCCTGAATTCCCATCAGCGCAGAGTGGGGTTTCCAGGAGCTCTGCATCCCTAACAGTACTTCATAGCATCAGTTTACTGTTTTCTTGATTTTATTTTATTCTGCTTTAATGGTGAAGAGCTACATATCATGTTGGCTTCATTTTCATCTCCCTTTTCACTAAGGATATTGAGTCATCTTTTCATGTGCTGGCTTCCCATTTTATTCTTTGGAGAAGTAGCTCTTCAGGGCTTTTCCCCTTTTGAAAACTTGAACTATTTGTTTTCTTCCTTTTGAGTATTAAGAGCTCTTTGAGAAATATTCCAGATGATCTTTGGTTCTGTTTTTGCAAATACTTTTTCCCAGTCATTGTCTTGTCTTTTCATTTTCTCAACAAGGTGCTTCACAATGTAGGAGTTGTCTATTTTAATGAATTGCTGTTTCTTTTATGAAATGTGCATTAGTGTATCTAAGAACTCCTCCCCAAAGATTTTTCTCCCATTTACTTCTAAAGTTTTTGCAGATTTTCATCTTATGAATAGGTCTATGGGGATTGGTCCTGTGGAATGGCAGGTAAGATGCTGTCGGCATTGCCGGCATCCCACAAAGGTGCTGGTTCAAGTCCAGGCTGTTCCACTTCAAACCTAGCTCCCTGCTGATGCACCTGGGAAATCATTAAAGATGACCCAGGTGTTTGGGGCCCTGTATCACCGTGGGAGACACAGAAGAAGCTCCGGGTTCCTGGCTTTTGTCTGGCCCAGCCCAAGCCATTCTGGCCTTTTGGGTAGTAAACCACTGGATGGAAAGCTCTCTCCCTCTCTTTCTTCTTCTCTCCATAATGCTGCCTCTCAAATACTAAGTCAATATTTTTGAAAAAATAAGGTGTATGATGAATTTTGAGTTAATATCCATATTGAGTGCCTACAGATATCTAATATTCTAGCCCCATTTCTTGAAAAGACATGTCATTTACAGTCATACTGTGCTTCTTATAAGACACTGACAAACCTGAAACTCCAAGACTTCTTTCAGATGAGACAAGGCACAAAGGAGAAGGACACCATGAGTGATATGGAGACATGGCAGTCATGGTACTGGGTTTTTTCTGTCTTAGGATCCCAGGAGATTTCATTTTCCATCCCTACCACCTCTTTTCATCCGGGAAGAATGAAACCATTACCTTTAACTTGCTTGTATTTGCTCATCTCTTGTTGCAGAGCATCCAAGGGAAAGGGGCAGAGCTCCTCTATACGGATGATGGCAAAGTTGTGCTTCCTCGCCCCCAGAGCTTCTCTGTGCTTCTGCAGCGCGTAGAAGTGTTTGCCGCAGCAGAACACAAGTGTCTTGACGCTGTTGGGTAGGAAAGGGACCATGGGAGGGGAATAAATACCTTTAGGTGAAAATTTGCCACAAGAAAGGAAAGAGGCTGAATGATGAAATGCCTCTCCCTCCCCCTCCAGGAAGCCAGCACATGCCTCCAAAGCTCGCTCTCCCACACACACTCTAGCTCCTACTCCACTCACATCTCATGATTTGTATCAGCAGAGAAGAGCTCTTAATCAACCTTGAATTTCTTAACACAAACTACTGTTTCCATTTATTAAAATTCAAACACAGAGGACAAAAACAAGGATACAGAGCTAATTACTTTTTTGGGTCCACAGAGGAATCTCCAATGACCGGCTTGAACGTTGTTCCTGGTGCCATTTCTTGAAGAGTTGACACGGCTGCCTATGAGGCAAGAGAAACCACACATCTGTCCTTCAAGGGAAAACAGCTCAAGCTGTTATAGTCATGGGAATTTAGCTAAAAATTAGTGTTAAAACTCTAGCCTAGAGCTACAAGTAAATCTATCTCCCCTCCCCAAAGTATTAGCCCTGTGTACTTCAGAGTATACAGGTGTCTGGAGCACCAGCATCCAGCTGATACACCAGCTGCTGTCTCAATTGCTCCTCTTTTCATCTAGCTTCTTGCTAATGGCCTGGGAAAGAGAAGATGGCCCAATGTTCAGAACTATGCCACCCAAATGGAAGACTTAGAAGAAGCTCCTGGCTTCAGCCTACCCAAACCTGGAGTGAAACAGTGCATGGAAGATCTCTTTCTCTTAAAAAAAAAATTGTGACAGCAGGGGCCAGCACTACGGTATAACAGGGTTAAACCACCATCCCATATAGGTGCTAGCTCGGGTCCCGGTCATGCCATTTCTGATCCAACTCCTTGTTTATGGCCTGGAAAAGCAGTGGAGGATGGCCCAACTGCTTGGGCCTCTGTACTTAAGTGGAGGAACTGGAAGAAGCTCCTGGCTCCTGGCTTTGACGTGAATCAGCCCTGGATTTTGTAACCATTGGGGGAGTGAGCCAACATATGGAAGATCTCACTCTCGATACTTCTCAATTTGTAATGTTGCCTTCCAAGTAAATGAAGTAAATCTTCCAAATAAACAAAATAAGTCTTTAAAAATATATATTTGACAGAAGTAAAGTCAACTACATTAAATAGAGGAGCAGGTGTTTAATGCAATGGGTCAAGCACTTCTGGGGATGCAAGTATCTCATGTGGGTACCAGTTAAAGTTTTAGCTGCTATGCTTCTAATCCAGTATCCTGATAATGCATCTGGAAGTCAGCAGAAGACAGCCCAAGTGTGTAGGCCCCTGCCACCCATAAGGGAGACCTGAATGGATTTTTGGACTTCTGACTTCAGTCTGGCCCAGCTCTGGCCATCATGCCCATGTGGAGAGTAAGGCAGAGGACAAATTTCTCTCTTTATCTCCCTCTGTGTCTTGTAGACCTGTAAGTAATACATCTTAGAAATCTTCACTAAGGAGAAAAATCCACCAAACAGGATTGTAATGTCAAAAGTTAAAAGAAGAGATCAAACACAATGAAGATTACCCAAGACTCCACGGTAAAGGAACAAAAGCTTCTACCAAACTCAGAGTTAACTGAGAAAGACATTGAAAAAATGGGGGACACAGAATTCAGAAAACTTATTATAAAGCTTCTGACCAACAATGAGACACACATACTACAAGAGTTCAAAGAATTTAAAGAATTTATCACACAGGAAATGAATCAAATAAAAGCTGACATTTCAGAACTATCCAAGCCACTTGGACATAATCCTTGGAATAAGTACACATTGAGACGCTGGGTTGATATGAGGTGGCGGTTCCTCATCCCTGGGTACTGGGACGTGTGGAAAGCCATGAGTGGTTCCTCCTTTGTCTTTCCCCTTACTCCAGGAACAACAAGAAGAAACAGAAAATTTGGGAGCAATGAGTTCACTCAATTTTCCCTAAACCTTGATCCTTCGCACCACAATCAACCATGTAATCATTATTACAAAATAAAATTTAAAACGAAAAAAACAAAAAGTTTGTTGGAGCATCTGACACCAGCAGTATAGCAATGCTAAGCCTCAGACTGCAGTGCCAGCATCACATACGGATACTGGTTCAAGTCCTGTAAGCTCCATTTCTGATCCAGCTCCCTGCTAACAGCCTGGAAAAGCAACAGAACGTGGCTCAAATCCTAGAGCCCCTACACATAGATGGGCGACATGGAGGAAGCTCCTGGTTCCTGACTTTAGACCAACCCAACTCCAGACATTGCATCCATTTAGAAAGAGAACAAGGTAACGGAAGACCTCTGTTGTGTCTCCTTCTCGCTTGATAACTCTACCTTTCAAATAAATGTAAATCAGTCTTAAAAAACCAAACAAACTTTGTAAGCCTGACACAATGGCTCAGTGACTAAATCCTTGCCTAGCATGTTCCAAAACCCCATATGGATGCTGTTCATATCCTGACCGTTCCACTTTCCTACCAGCTCCCTGGTTGTGGCCTGTGAAGGCAGTAGAGTGTGGCTCAAAGCCTTGGGACCCTGTACCTATGTGGGAATCCCTGAAGAAGCTCCTGGCTCCAGGCTTCAAATCAGCTCAATCCTGGCAGTTTTAGCCACTTGGGGAATGACCCAGTGAACAGAAGATCCTTCTCTGTATTTACTTCTATAAATCTGCCTTTCCAATCAAAATAAATAAATATTTTTTAAAAAGTTTGTGAGACAATGAAATTAAAAGTTTTAATTTGGTATAAATTTTTTGAAATTAATACACTTCTCTCATTTAATGCATTTACTACAATCTTTGTAAAAACTGCATAAAATGAGATGCAGAAAATAAAACCAGAATTTAAAATTATCTTAGAAATTTGCTCTTTCTGGCCTGGTACAATGGCTAAAGTCTTTGCCTTGCACAAGCCTAATCCCAGTTGGGCGTTGGTTCATATTCCAGCTGCTCCACTTCCCATCCAGCTCCCTGCTCGTGAGCTGAGAAAGCAGTGGAGGATGTCCCAAAGCCTTGGGACATGCACCCGTGTGGGAGACCTGGAAGAAGCTCCTAGATCCTGGCTTCAGGTTAGCTCAGCCCTAGCCATTGTACCTCTTGGGGAGTGAACCGACAGATGGAAGATCTTTCTCTCTATGTCTCCTTCTCTCTGTAAATCTGACTTTCCAATATAAATAAATAAATTTTTAAAAAATCAAAGAAACTAGCTCTTTCTACTCACAGGAAATCTGAGTAACATCTTGGGTGAGGCAACGATGAGGGGTTTTCTGAAGTTCCGAATCATTTGTCTCCTGAGCAGGTGGAAATACTGTGCTGGAGTAGTTGGGTGGACCACAAACATGTTCACAGTGTCTCCATCCACACCCTCTTCCACACTGTCACACATCTGGGAGAAACAGAAAGAGAGAAATCATTCAGGTTTTCCATTGCAATCTCTGTGACAATACGCTAGCCAAAGGGAGGCACAAGCATTCTACACAAGTAAGAGAAGAGATATCACACTCTGTAACAGAAAACATCGCTAGGTAAATTTATGATCTGAAAAGTATTAGTGAAAGTTCTCTGTATCACCTCACACAGTTGTTCCCAAGCACAGTTGGCTGGAAGAATCATCTGTAGGGGGAAAGAGAAGGCTGTTTTTTAAAGTACTGATAATGGGCCTGGCACAGTAGCTCAATTGGGCTCAATTGGCTAATCCTCCCTTGCAAGTATGGGCATAGCTATGGGCACCTGTTTCCATCACAATTACTCCACTTCACATCCAGCTCCCTGCTTGTGGCCTGGGAAAGCAGCAGAGGATGGTGCAAAGCCTTTGGACGCTGCACCTGCATGGCAAACTCAGAAAAAGCTCCTGTCTTCAGATAAGCTCAGTTCTGGCTGTTCTGGCCACTTGGGAAGTGAACCAGGGCATGGAAGATCTTTCTCTATGTATCTCCTTCTCTCTAGCTTCTTGCTAACGCAGACGCTGAGGGGCAATGATGCTGATTCAAGTAAATGACTTCCTGCCACCCATTCAAGAGTCTTGTCTGAACTGACTTCCTGGTTTCTGGCTTTGGCAATACCCAGGGACGGCTATAGGCCATATCAGTCTCTCTCCGATTCTCAAGCAAATTTTAAAAATTCAAATTTTAACAGTAGTTATTTCTAGGAGGTTATTTAAAATGCTTTATAGATCATAGTCATTTTATAGAAAAATTATCATTGTCTAAAGAATATGGCTTTAAAATTTTTTTAAGATTTACTCTTCTTCTTTTTTATTATTAGAAAAGCAGATTTACTGAGAGAAAGAGAAACAAAAAGAAAGATCTTCCATCCACTGGCTCACTCCCCAAATGGCCACAACAACCAGAAATAAGTTGCTCCAAAGCCAGGAACCAGGAGCTTCTCTCAGTCTACCATGTGGGTACAGGGTCTCAAGGCTTTGGGTCATCCCTACTGCTTTCCCAGGCTACCAGTAGGAAGCTGGATGGCAAGTGGAGCAGCTAGGACTCCAACCAGTGCCTTGATGGGATCCTGGCACATGCAAGGCAAGGATTTAATCACTAAGCCCTACACTGAGCCCCAGAATATGGTTTTTTTAGGATACAGATTCTGAGATACTGCTCCCGAGAATATGATCTGGGCTGGTCCCTGTGTCTGCACCTGTTTAGGTAAGTTCCCTAGGAGATCTTGATGTCAAAACAGGTATGGCAACCACTGACCTTCATCACCTAGACCAGCTTTAATTGCCACTGACCTATGACACCACCACTCCTGATACACTGTGTTTTGAAGGAAGCCTAACCTTACGTGAAACCTGTTGCATCATTCCCACACTGCAGTGTCTTGTAGTTCAAGCTGCACATTCAGATACCTGAAAGAAATATTTCTGTTTCCAGAGCACCTAGGAATGTGGGAAATGACTCTCCCATTAGAGGAGGCATCAACATACCTGCAGGAAACGCTCTAGTCGACAGGATGAGTGGTCAGGGCCAGCCCCATCGTAGCCGTGCGGGAGCAGAATAACAATGCCACTTTGTAGGAGCCACTTGGCCTCTCCTGGGAAAGTGCCACACAGAAAGTTCAAACTGAATGAACAAGAACCAACTGAAACCACTTGTCTTAAATAACTTGCCTGACAGTCCTCCCACAGGCCCCATTACATGCACTTTCTATTGTCATACTGTCCTGAGAGGCAACAGTGCCCACTTGGCTGGGTGGAAATGTAGGACAGCTGATGCGCTGGGCTTTGGGGAGCAGAAGACAAATTCCAGGACAGCCATCCCAACTTCCAAGATGGTAGCGTGCCACTCTACCCCTACAGCTCTCATATGGTGGCTCTTCCCTTCCTTTTGCACAGCTGAGGATCCAGGCCACTGTCCTTGTGGGGAAGTGCAGCGGACACATCCCAATGGGCCTTCAGTCAGAGAGAAAGTCAGTCTTCCAGGCATGCTTCCTCCTTGCAACTAACCGGTGAGCAAAACGGGTGATGACAGAACTCAGAGGCCTTTACTCAAGATCTAACAATGAATGACCCCCTCTTCCAACATGAGACTGAGCATCCAGGGAGACTCTTCCTTGACATACTTTAGATTTCCATCATAAGCAGGTACTGCTTTGAAAACTTTCAATCCTAGTGAAATAGTTGAACGAGACTAGATGGAGGGGAGCAGATTATTTTCACTTCCACGTTGCATCTGCCTGTGTCACTGCTGCCTGCTGGCAGTATTTCTGTTATGACTGGTCACTCAGTGCATCCCCAAGAACAGACCCAGAAGCCAAACATCCTGAGAGCTGGCACATTGCTCACTGCTTTCTTCAGTCACGCACACAGCCCTGGGGAAGGCAGGTGTTCTGCGTCCTGTCACCGGGCAGTACCCACTCTCCATGCTGACTGGGAACTCAGATTCTGCTCCCAGGAGCAACTCACTGAGTTCTGACAGCTGCTACTCCCAGGGGTAAGCAGGCGATTGCCCACAGATGCCTACAGAGCAGCAATCTCATCACTCCTCTGTGCCTGTGGGCCTGGAGCAGTGCGTCCACTCTCCATGCTCACAACAACCAACCTCCTGAAATGAACGTGTCAAAGATGATCTGGGCTCCATTGAAGAAATCGCCAAACTGGGCTTCCCAGATGGGTAGTAACTTTGGGCTTTCGATGCTCATCCCGTATTCAAATCCCAGGACAGCCTCTTCAGATAGGGGACTGTTGCTGACCTAATCCCCAGGAAGAAAATGAAACATTGGATGAATGAGCAAGGGCACACCTGACAGGGGCTGGCACAGGTAAAGCATCACTCCAGCACAAAATCTTAAAGGGAGGAGGGGCATGGAGGGAAGCTTTGGTCTCATCTATGACCACAGGATAGTGACTGCTTGATACCAGTGGAGCACATGAGGAAAGTTGGGACAGAGAATAAGACGGAAAGGAAAAGAGGGTTTAATATGAGTATTAAGGACTTCCCTCAAGGGTAAATCATATACTTTTTAGAGGACCACCTTTAGAGCTCACTGTAAAACTCTTATCATATAAATTTCTAATATATATATAGTCATATATACATATTATATATAGTTATATATATAGTATATATATATACATATATAGTTATATATATATTTTTTAAAGGAGAAGATTAGAAAATGAAGGCCGGGGTCCCGGAGTGGTAGCTTAGCAGCTAAAGTCCTCATCTGCACACACTGGGGTCCCATATGGGCACCGATTCTAATTCTGACAGCCCCACTTCCCATACAGCTCCCTGTAGCCTGGGAAAGCAGTTGAGGATGGCCCAAACCCTTGGGACCCTGCACCAATGTGGAAGACCTAGAGGAAGCCTTGGGCTCCTGGCTTCGGATTGGCTCAGCTCCAACTGTTGGGGCTGCTTAGGGAGTGAATCAATGGATGTAAGACCTTCCACTCTGTATATCTGACTTTCCAATGAAAATAAAATAAATTTTTTTTTAAAAAAGAAAAAGAAATGAAAGCCTACCTATAGTTAGAATCCATGATTCTAATACATTTGCCAGATAAGTAAAAAAAAAAAAAAAGACATATGTTAAGATAAAAAGAACAGGAGACAGGGCCCAATGTAATGGTTTAGTTGGCTAATCCTCCTCTTTTTTTTTTTTTAAAGATTTATTTTTATTATTTTTTCATTGGAAAGGCAGATATACAGAGAGGAGAGACAGAGAGGAAGATCTTCCGTCCGATGATTCACTCCCCAAGTGAGTGCAACGGGCCGATACTATGCCGATCCGAAGCCAGGAGCCTCTTCCGGGTCTCCCACGTGGGTACAGGGTCCTAAAGCCTTGGGCCGTCCTCGACTGCTTTCCCAGGCCACAGGCAGGGAGCTGGAAGGGAAGCGGGGCTGCCGGGATTAGAACCGGCGCCCATATGGGATCCCGGGCGTGCAAGGTGAGGACCTTTAACCACTTGCGCCACTGCGCCGGGCCCAGCTAATCCTCCTCTTACAAGTACTGGGATCCCATATGGGTGTCCCGGCTACTTTACTTCCCATCCAGCTCCCTGCTGGTAGCCTGGGAAAGCAAGGATGATGGCTCAATGCCTTGGGATCCTGTATTCATGTGGAAGACCTGCAGAAGGCTCCTGGCTTTTGGTTTCAGCTCAGCTCAGCTCTGACTGCTGTGACCATTTGGGAAGTAAACCAGGGGACATAAGATCTGTCTCTTCTCTCTGTAAATCTGTAATTCCAATGAAAAATAAATAATGCTTTGAAAAGAAAAGAACAGAAGATAAAATGATATCTCTGTGGAGATTACAGAGACAGGACAACTAAACATAACATGACACTGAATGGAGTTGTAGTGCTGACAACCACATAGGTGTCAAATAGTGTTGGCTGCTCCACTTCCCATCCAGCTCCCTGCTAATGGCCTGGGAAAGCACTCAAAGATGGCCCAAGACATTGGGCCCCTAAATTCACATGGGAGACTAGAAAGAAGCCCTTGGCTCCTGGCTTTGGATTGGCTCAGCTGTGGATATTGCAACCATTTGGAGAGCAATCAAGCACACGGAGGATCTCTCTCTCTAACTCTGACCTTCAAGTAAGACGAAATAAATCTTTAAAAATTTATTCACTGGGCCTGGTGGCGTGGCCTAGCGGCTAAAGTCCTCACCTTGAACGTGCCAGGATCCCATATGGGCGACGGTTCTAATCCCGGCAGCTCCACTTCCCGTCCAGCTCCCTACTTGTGGCCTGGGAAAACAGTCGAGGACGGCCCAAAGCCTTGGGACCCTGCAACTATGTGAGATAGCCGTTGCGCTCACTTGGGGAGTGACTCGTCGGACGGAAGATCTTCCTCTCTGTCTCTCCTCCTCTCTGTATATCTGACTTTCCAATAAATAAATAAATCTTTAAAAAAAAATTATTCATTAATTTTGTTTGAAAAGCAATGAACAGAGACAGAAGGACAGACAAAGAGACTGACAGCTCTCCCCTGCACTGGCTCAGGTATCACCCTCTGACACTGCATTCCATACGAGCAACCGTTTAAGCCCTACCCACTGTACTTCTGATCCAGTTCTCTGCTAATCAGCAAGGAAAGAAGAAAACTACGGCCCACATCCTTGGGTCCCTGTATTCCATGTGGGGGACACAAATGAAGTTTCTGGCTCCTGGTTTCAACCTGGCCCAGCCCTGGCTGCTGTGACCATTTGAGAAGTAATCACTGGATGAAAGAGCTCTCTGAGTCTCCCCTCCCTAACCCTTGCCTTAAACTAAACAAATACATCTTAAAAATAAGTAATTAGTAATACATAAAGCTAATAATAAATCTTAAGTTACAATTCAATAAAAGCCTCATTTCAAATAGGGGAACACTAAATATTTCAATATACAGTTCAGCAGTCTGACTTGATCCAAAAAAAAAATCCTTTTTTTAAAAAAGGACTTATTTTTATTAGAAAGGCAGATTTACAGAAAGAAGGAGAGACAGAGAGAAAAATCTTTCACTCCCTGGTTCACTCCCCCAAATGGCCACAATAGCCAGAGCTGAGCCAATCTGATGCCAGGAGTAAGGAGCCCCGTTGAGGTATCCCACATGGTGCAAGGTCCCAGTGGGCTGTCTTCCATCGCTTTCCCAGGCCACATGCAAGGAGCTGGATGGGAAGCAGAGCAGCCAGGACATGAATTGGCACCCATATAGGATCCTGACTCATGCAAGGTGAGGACTTTAGAGACTAGGCTATCACGCCGAGCTCTTTAAAAAAAAAATAAATAAAGATTTATTTATTTATTTACTTATTTATTTAGCAAAGGCAGATTTATAAAGAGAAGAAAATACAGAAAGATCTGTCTGCTGATCCACTCCCCAAGTGGCCACAATGGCCAGAGCCAAGCTAATCTGAATCCAGGAGACTCTTTTGGGTCTATAACACAGATACAGGGTCAAGGTCCCAGGCCATCCTTAACTACTTTCCCAGGCCACAAACAGGGAGCTGGATGGGAAGTAGAACAGCTGGGACATAAACTAGCACCCAGAAGATGCAGGACAAGGACTTTAGCCACTAGGCTATCATATTGGGCCCCAAAGATAAGTTTCTAAAAAAAATGTATTTATATATTTGAAAGAGAGAGAGACAGGCAGACAGACAAACAGACATCTTCTATCTGCTGGTTTAATCCCTAGATGTCTGCAATGGCCAGTGCTGGGTCAGGTTGAAATCAGGAGCCAGGAGCTTAATCAGGGTCTCTTGTGTGGGTGGAAGTGACCCAAACACCTGGACCAATCACTGCTCTTCCCTGGCCATTGTCAGGATGCTGGATCTGAAGAGGAACAACTAGACCTCAAACTGGTGCCCACACTGGCTACTGATGTGGTAACAGCTTCACTTGCCACACACCACCATATCAACCCCCAAAGATGGATTTCAAACTAATTCCAGAAAAATGTAAGTTGAGTGCCACTTTGTCTTAGAGGAACACTGCTTTTGCCAAACACATTTGTTAGAGAGGATCAGTGAACTCAAAGCTACATGCTCAACGACTTTGAGCAGGAAGGAAGATGACATTCCACTAAACTCACCTTGCAGCATAAATTAATTTCACAAACATTGCATGCCAGGCACCATGGTAGCTGGTGCGGCCATGAGAATGAGAAGACTCAGCCCCTGTCCCTAAGACACTCAAGAATACCGTGAAGACTGGCACATAGAAAGACACGGTCGTGCTTACTCATCAAGCCCCTAATCCAGAGGAGGATGCAATCTGAAGGAGGTATTTTTGATTAAGTTTTTCTTTTTTAGTATATAAGAAATGTTTGCATCTTTGACTGACTTCAACAAATCACAACATGCAGATATTAATGTCAATTTTGGATTGGTAAAATGTACATCTGTTTAACCTTTACACGATTACAGAGAAGGAACCAGAATAAAATAGCTCCGGTTTGCCACCTAGTCTGTTACCTCCACTCCACATGTTCTACCCACCCAGTGCCTCTTTATTCAAAAACCTCTAGAAGGCACAGTTGGCTATGGCTGTGTGCAGCAGCTCTCAGGCTCCTGTAACTGTCACCAGCAGCAGCTGGCTTTCACGACGGACATCACAGGATCCTACCTCGAGAAACCCCTTCTGGTGAGGGTCCATATGGTTCAGCGGGATGTAGGTGTCGTCGGTTTGCTGGCAAACCACCATCACATGCCTTTGACTAAACGTTCCACGGCCAACGTCTTGACCACTCAGACGAACATTAAATCCTTAAGAAAGCAAGCAAAAAAAATTTCAAAAAAAAAAAATGTTTTGGGCCCAGCATCATAGCCTAGTGGCTAAAGTCCTCGTCTTGCATGAAGCAAGAGCCCGTATGTGCTGGGGTCCGTGCAGTGGGTGCAGACACGAAGGTGTGAAGAGAATAGCTCCCTACTTGGCAGGGCCCGGGGGAGCTTCCAGCTGTTTGGAAGGGCCCAGCGGATTTCTCTTTGACCACCTTGATGCTGTTTCACCCCTGTTTGCAAGGACACTCAAGCACCCCATGAAGAAATCTGTAATCTATTGAGGCATTGTTTGCCCCTGTGAGATGGCTTTTGCCACCAACGTGAGCTTGAGAGTTAATGTTACTGATAATGTCTTGGTGAGGGGGCCTTTGACACTTTACACACAGGAGCACAATTAAGCCCATGGCATTTCCGGACACCTTATTGTGTGCTGTTGCCTCAGAACCTGGCCCAGACATGCAGCACATCCTCTGGGAAGGGGCTTGATATGTATGTCTTAAATACTAATACAAGTGATGGGAGTGAGAGCTGAAACTGCTATGGCAATAAATATAGTTATTGTTATCTCAAAGGCTAGTGTGTCTTTGCAATTTTTTTGGGAGCATAGAAAATGTAATTGTTTTAGCTGCTTTCATAATTTTTAGCTAGAGGAATTAAGGATGCTTTTATTAAGGAAATGTGCTTTTAATTATTATATTATTGTTTATGGGGTTGTAGAGCCTATAGTTGTAGAGGGATTTAATATTTGAAACTTCTGTTTTGGATTTTACGTTTTTTCCCTTGTAACCTATTTTCCCATTAAGTGATGGGTAAATTGTAGAAATAGAAATGTGGTAGGAATGTACTACTGATTAGCAGGTAATCGCATGTGCCTTGGCCTTGGAGTCCCGGCTGTCGCTCCATGGCTACTGTTGAAGAATGAATAACGGCTTGCTTTGAAGAATATGAATACAGTATTTTGCAGAATTATCTTTAGGGGCACCTGCTTAGCCTTGAAGTACAAACAGAATGACCAAATGTCTGTACATGCCCCCTTAGTCTTGAAGTAAAAAATAGAACAATTAGTCGTTTGTGCAGAAGCTTGTGAGGTGTCTGAGTAAATAAAAAGGACAGCTTTTCCTTGAGCTGTTGTGAGAGCGCGCCAAGTAACAGTGTTTGTGTCTTTCTTTATCGCCGACTCCACGCACCCTTCCTGAGCTCCGAACTCGGCTGGACCTGGACTCCGGCACATATGGGTGTCAGTTCTAATCCCAGCAGCCCCGCTTCCCATTAAGCTCCCTACTTGTGTGGCCTGGGAAAACAGTCGAGGATGGCCAGAAGCCTTAGGACCCTACACCCATGTGGGAGACCTGGAAGAGGCTCCGGGCTCCTGGCTTCAGATTGGTGCAGCTCCAACCATTGCAGCCGCTTGGGTAGTGAATCATAGGATGGAAGAGCTTCCTCTCTGTTCTGTCTCTCCTCCTCTTTGTATATCTAACTTTTCAATAAAAATAAAATAAATATTTTTTAAATGTCCATTTTCCAACGAATAACCCATCTCATAATAAGGCAGGACAAACCTGAATCCACATACAATAGCTCTATCCTGCAAATTTCCATTAAGATAGCAAATTCACATTATTCACATGTATATGGGCTATATTCAAAAATCCATAGTCAAGGTGCAACTGCACAGGAATAGTTATCACTTGGGACCAGCACCATGGTGCAGCAGGCTCAGCTGCTGCCTGTGACAATAGGAGTGATGGTTTGAGCCTTGGTGGCTCGGCATCCAATCCAGCCCCTTGCTAACGCACCTTGGATAGCAATGGAAGATGCGCTTGGGTCCCTGCCACCATGACCAGGTGGGTAAACCAGATAGAGTATCTGGATCCTGGCTATGGCCTGACCCAGCACCAGTCCCTGAAATCATTTGGGGAGTGAGCCAGTGGGTAGCTCTACATCTATGTCTCCCTGTCACTCTGCCTTTCAAATAAACAAAATAATATCCTATGAAAAACTAAAACAATTATTATCACTTGTAGCCACCATTATGGTGCAGCAAGTTAAACAGCAGCTTACAATTCTTGTATTCCAGAAGAGAATATGTTTAAGTCCTGACTGCTCTGCTTCCAATTCAGCTCCCTCCTAACGCTCCGAGGAAGAAAGCTGAAGATGATCCAAGAACCTGCACCCTACCATCCAAATGGAAGATCCAAATGGAGTGTCAGGCTCTTGGTTTTGACTTAGCTCACCCACAACGGATGTGGCCATTTCAGGAGTTAACCACTGACAGAAAATTGGTAACTCTCTCTTACTCTTGTTCTCTCTTACTATCTCTCTCTCCCTCTCTGTCACTCTGCCTTTGAAATGCATACAATATACATACAAAAAAATCATCACTTATTCTACAATATTTAGGTTAAAAAAATTACCATTTCAACACCACCAGCACTGAGCCAGTTGCTTATTAATAAGGCACTCAACTGCCTTAGAGTTGGTGCTCGGATGAAGATTGTCAAATGACCTATTCTACAATGATATAATAGCATCTGGTAAGAAGAGGCAACAGGTTCTAGGACCTCACTAGCTGATAAAAATAAGAGGTAATTACAGTTCATTAAACCAGTACCGTTTTTACACTTTCCTGTGAACTGCGCAGCCAAACAGAAAGTACGTACCTTGAGCAAGCAAGGAGCCCAGGGCCAGAGCCTCCGCTGTTGCCCAGTCTAAATTTGTTCCACTCTGCACCTTCTCCATTCGGGACTGTGAAACAGAAGAAGAGGAAAAAGGAAAATTTGTAGAGTCCCTGTGTTTTTCCATACTGATTTCAAAATATTTAATGAAGCAAGGGTAAGTGTCAACAAGTAGTGCTGAATAACAAGTACAGTCTGCTACATCTGCATACAATTGGCATTACAGACACTTTTCAAACAGGCAAAGCAAACCTGACCGTAGGTTAGTAATGTCCTCTGCAAAGGGATGAGAAGATGGAATCAAGGAGAGCATACAGGAAATTGTTATTCTTAACATTCTATTCATCTTTTTAATATTTATTTATTTATTACTTACTTGAAAGGCAGAGTTAGGAGAGAAAGATTTTCCATCCACTGGTACCACTCCAAAATGGCCCAAATAGCATGACCCAGGTTTAAGCTATGAACCAGGAGCTTCTTGGAGAACTGCATGGAGTTTTGGCCTCCTGATGTAAGCATGGAACAATCCTAGTTATTGTGACCATTTAGGGAGTAAACAACAGATGGAATATCTCTCCCTCTTATTCTGCCTTTCAAAAATAATTAATTTAAAAAACAATAGGAAAAGGTTCAGCATATTTACGGGTCTAAATGATCATGTTTGGGGTATATGTGTTATTTTTGTTCCTTATATTTAAACTACTTGAAAGAATTATTATTATTATTATTTTTTTTTTGCTCAGTGATGGGAAAGATCAAAACAGACAAACTTGCATTTCTGTATCTTCTACAATATGCAGCATTCAATGTAGGTGTACTATATTAAGCATAAACCAATAAATAAATGCAGAAAAAAATAGAAGCAGAGAAAATCTAAAGATAACTGGATATCAACAGTAAAACAATGCAAGGATCAGTTTCTAAAACCTACTCACAAGCAGTGAATATTTGTCAAGTGAATCAGCCTACCAAAAAGACCAGTCCAACATCATTCCTTTGCTGAACAAGAAGAAAAGTAGTAGCCGATTACTGGAATACTCCCCACCTGGACATACGTCTTTAGCAGGTGGCTGTGCACCTGCAGTTCCTTCAGGACCTCCACAGACTTCATGCCGATAAACTGCAGGAGGTCCAAGGGCACACCTGTGTTCCAGGTGGTGATGCGAGCTTCAGGCTGCACTAGACCCTGCCAGTGGGCCTGCAGGTTGGTGGCTGGGGGGCTGTAGTGGGTGGTATTAGACAAGTGGTCATTCAGCTTGGCATAGTAAGAGGCTTTTATTTCAGACACCTCCTCCTGGGTCATGAGTCCACTGCTGATCAGGTGCTCTGCATATGTGTCGGGGATGCTCTTTCGGGCTCTGATCAAGAAAGAGAGGGAAAAAGGTCAAACTGTGTGTCAACATCTATAAGAAACACAGTCATTGTCAAAGACTGTTATAAGGGCACCGCTATAAAAAGCACATTGGGGGCCTGGTGTAATGGCTCAGTTGGCTAACCCTCACCTTGCAAGTGCCAGGATCATGTCCTAACTGCTCCACTTGCCATTCAGCTCCCTGCTTGTGGCTTGGGAAAGCAGTAGGGGACAACCCAAAGCTTTGAGACCTTGTACCCATGTGGGAGACCAGGAGGAGACTTCTGACTCCTGACTTCAGATCAGTTCAGCTCCAGGTGTTATGGTCATGTGGGGAGTGAACCAGTGTTTGGAAGATCTATCCCTGCATCTCCTTCTCTCTGTAAATCTCTTTCCAATAAAAACAAGTGAATCTTTTTTTTTTTAAGATTTATTTTATTTTTATTGGAAAGTTGGATATACAGAGAGGAGAGACAGAGAGGAAGATCCTCCGTCCGATGACTCACTCTCCAGCCGGCCGCAATGGCTGCAGCTGAGCCAATCCAAAGCCAGGAGCCTCCTCCGGGTCTCCCATGCGGGTGCAGGGTCCCAAAGCCTTGGGCTGTCCTCGACTGCTTTCCCAGGCCACAAGCAGGGAGCTGGAAGGGAAGTGGGGCTGCCGGGATTAGAACCGGCGCCCATATGGGATCCCAGGCATGCAAGGCGAGCATCTTAACCACTGCGCCATCGCACCGGGCCCAAATACATCTTTTTTTAAAAAGGAACTTAGAAAAAGTTTAATAAACCATCCACTTCAATATAATTAATGTTATGGGCTAAAGTAGTTACATAGCCGGTACATCTTCTGCCTACAATGCTGGCATCCCACATGGGCACTGGTTCATGACCAGCTGCTCTAGTTCTGACGCAGCTCCCTTTAATGGCCTGGGAAAGTGATGTAGGATGGCCCAAGTTTTTGTGCCCATGCCACCCATGTAAGAAACCCAGAAGAAGCTCCTAGCTTCTTGCTTTAGGTCTGGTCCAGCCTTAGCTGTTGTAGGCATTTGGGAAGTGAACTAGAGGATGAAAGATCTCTCTCTGTGTCTCTTCTTCTCTCTGTGTAACTCTGACTTTTAAATAAATAAATGAATACATCTTTTTTAAAGTAAAATTCAATTTTACATTATGTGACTTTCACCTCAATAACTTAATATGAAACTCAAATTAAAAAGAGGAATGTAAGTGATTGACTAAAAGCGCTCAAGAGTAACAATACCTTCCAGGCAAGCAAAAAAAACAAATTATAAACTTTCTTTTTCTTGAAGATAATTGATTAATTGACTTGAAAGGCAAAGTGACAGAGAGAAAGAGATTCAGAGAGAGAAACAGAGAAAGAGATCTTCCATCTGGTAATTCATTCTCCAAATGGCCACAACAGCCACAGCTGACTAAAGAGAACCCAGGATTCGATACTCCATCCAGGTCTCTGTGTGGCAGGTGCCTGAATTCTTGGGCCGTCTTCTGCTACTTTCCCTGTGCATTGGCAGGGAGCTGAATGGGAAGCACAGCAGCTGGAATCAAATTAGACTCTGATCTCGGGTACAGGAATCACAAGCAGTGACTTAATAGGCATTCCACAACATCAGCCCCTTTCTTTATAAATTTCATCTACATCCAGATAGAAATAATTGCTAGAGTTTTTTAGTGATCAGGCAAGCTGTGGGTGGTTATTTACAAGCTAGATCAACATTGTCTCCCTTTCAGCACCTCCTTTATTTTAAAAAAATATATTGAATTCCCCCCTAGTCAGTGGCCCACATGGACATTCATCCTTCTCATGATGTAAACAGCATTAAAAATGGAACAAAATAATTTACAAAATAAAGATAAATGTTGAATACAAAAAGTAAAAATGAGAAAATCCCTAGCCCCTGCGTTCCCTCTCACCAGGGCACAAAGCAGGTCTACTTCAACAGGTCACAGAGGAGAACTGTGGAGGTTCTATTTGTGATCATGTCAATGCCACAGCAAGTAACTTCTGGCAAGGCCTTGCCTAACTCCTCCTACTCCAGTGTTCCCACCTGCTAAATGTTCAGTTGCCCATTCTTGGGTTAATGAGGAGACACATGGAGTTTGAAGAACGTGAGGTGCACTCTGAAGATGCATGGTGTGACCCTCCCAGCTTTCCAAGGACTGTGTCAGTCTCAGCCTTGAAAACTCCATGTAGTGGGCACACCAAGGAAGCTGGTCATCTCTCTGAGAGTATTTACTGAAAATAAGGATCAAAGAGTTTCTGTTGGGGAGGCTTTTAATCATACCTGATGATTTTGTACATGACTGGGTTGGTAAAGAAAGGCTCGTCCAACTCGTTATGGCCCCACTGCCTGTAGCACAGCAAGTCAAGAATCACATCCTTGCGGAACTGGCGCTGGTATTCAAAAGCCAGCCGTGTGGCACGCACCACTTCCTCTGGGCTGTCTCCATTGACATGGATGATGGCACAGCCCACAAGCTTCCCTGGAGTAAACAAGACAGGGATGAAGCAGACCAGTTACCCCAGAAAAACATCAGCATCTCTCCAAGTCCTGCTGTCTGCACCGGGAGAGGGCCCAGATCCTCAGGGGAAGTCTGCCATGGTTATTAACTTAAACTTCGAAGTTCAACTTCAAAACTTTGTATGTGACTTTGGTAAAGCTGCAAATCTCAGTCTACTTATGCATAAACCTTGGTTGAAAACCCCTACCTCTCGTTGACATTGTAAAGACTAAATGAATTCCTGTTTATAAAATGTTAGTGCTTGGGTCTGGCACAATGGCTAAATGGCTAAATCCTCACCTTGCATGTGCCAATTTGTGTAAACTTCCCATGTGGCTCCCTGCTTATGGCCTGAGAGAGCAGTAGAAGCTACCCCAAAGCCTAGGAACCCTGCACCTTCTTGGGAGACACAGAAAAAGCTCCTGGATCTTGACTTTGGATTGGCTCAGCTCTGGCCATTGTGATCATTTTGGGAGTGAACCAGCAGATAAAAGATCTTTTTCTCTGACTCTCCTCTCTCTGTAAATCTTATCTGTCTTTCTAATAAAAATAAATAAACCTTAAAAGAAAAGGTTAGTGCTTAAAAGTACCAGGTACATAAGAGTTAACATTTGTTGCTGTATATGATTACTACTATCCTTCTTACTAAGATAAAACAGTCACTGGATTAGCACAGTGGCTCATCCAGATCATTTTCCACCCTGTATCACGGCATTTAATATGGGTACTGGCTTGCATTTCAACTGTTCCTTTCTGATCCAGCTCCTTGGGTAGAACCTGGGAAAGCAGCGGAGCATGACCCAAGTCCTTGCAACCTTGAACTCACATGGGAGATCACAAAAGAGACTAGAAAGAGGCTTCTAGTCATTTGGGGAGTGAATCAGTGGATGGAAGGACTTATCTATCTCTTCATCTCTGTAAAAATCTACCTTTCAGGGCCCAGAGGGATAGCCTAGTGGTTGAAGCCTCACTTTGTATCTGCCAGGATCCCATATGGGTGCTGGTTCACATTCTGGCTGCTCCTCTTCCCATCCAGCTACCTGCTGATGGCCTGGGAAAGTAGTAGAGGTGGCCCAAAGCTTTAGGATCCTACACTCACATGGGAGACCCAGAAGAAGCTTCTGGCTCCTGGCTTCAAATCGACTCTGCTCTACTTGGGGAGTGAAGTAGCAGATGAAAGACCTTTCTATCAGTCTTTCTCTGTGTAGACCTGCCTTTCCAATAAAAATAAATAAAACTTGAAAAAAAAAAGAAAAAAGTAGCAGGGGTGAGGGAGCTCATTACAGGATGCAGCCCAGAAACCTCTTTCTCCAAAGAGAAGTTCTACAATGGATCTTTAGTATCTGTTAGATAAGAACTTGGAAACACTACCTGAATCCTGAGCCAACATTTACAGTGGCAGCAGCAGTGAGGCTCATGATTTTCAGTGATGTTTCTAGTCTGACTGCAGCACGACAAATCCTGCCTGCGATACTCACCAATGTCACTGGAGTATAGGGAAGACCTCCCTCTTTCTGCCGGAGTAGTGTAACCCAGCTGATTATTGACAATCAAGTGGATGCTCCCGCCAATTCTGAAATGTGGGAGATTAGAGAGTGTCAATGTTTCAGGAACAATCCCTTGACCACAGAAAGAAGCATCACCATGAACCTAAACCACCGGGAAACGAAAAAAGAAAAGAAAAGGAACAAATGGGATTAAGAAATCTAGATTTCCAGACTGGAATGAATTGTTTTAAAATACTAATAGGAATAAAAGCCAATACCGTTTTACTACCTCCTTGCTCTCCTAAAAATTTACAGGATATAGGGTTTCCTAGAAGGGTTAGTGTTATCCCTAAAGAAATTTCAACGATGTTAAACTAGTGCTTTTCTTTGTATAGCCACCATCAGCCAACTCATTACTTCTACCCCCTGTCATTGCCTATGCTCATTATTTTATGAAACATTCCAATGACTATACAGTAACACTAAGGAAACTAGAACTGCTGGCATTGAAAAATGAGATTTTCCCAGAGGAGGGAAAAAATAGTAGTCTAGGAAGTCTTGCATGAAAACAGTCTGCAAGTAGAGAGAAATAATGCAACACACTGAAATCTTCCTCCCCCTTCACCTCGTGTCCTGAAATGCTGCAGGGAGCTCACATTGTCAAGACAGCTTAGGTAGAGATGAATCCATGTGGACAAGCAGTGCCACAGAAGGTGAGAATTTTCTTAAAGAAAATAATTTTCAGTGCAATGGAATAAGGAAACAAGACCTGGAAACAGGACCAAGGCTCTTCTGTGCCTTTTGTAGCCCCAGCTGTCCATGCCTGTCCTTTATCAAAAGGAATTCGTTGAATTAGGGGAGTAATACAGCTGGCCTGATATCATTTTTTTTTAAGATTTATTTATTTTTACTGGAATGTCAGATTCATAGACAGAGGGAGAGACAGAGAGGTCTTCCATCTGCTGGATCACTTCCCAACACACAGGAACCTTGATGGCCAGCATGGTCCAGAGTGGTTTGTTCACTGCAATTTCACATTCAGAAATCCCTCTACCCATACATTCCAAAGGAGGGAGGAGGGGAGATGAAACACAGACCCTAACTTACTTCCATAAAAACCCTAGTCTGAATTCAGCCTGGCTCTCAGTCCTTTATCAAGATGTCTATCTGATTTATCAGTGTACTTTTTTAGGAAAAAAAAGGTAATTTTTTTCTAATTACTTTTTCGTTAAACTGCTAAAATTGCCTTCTTGTCTACTTACTCATCGGCCTCATACTTTGTTGTCAATGGAACAAGTTTCCAGGAATCAGATCAGTGGCAACATCACTCAACCTTTGCTCCCATGATGAACAGGAAGGAGAGTGAATGACAGCAAAGACAAAGTGATACAGAAGAAAATACAGCATACATAAATGAACAGAGGATCTGAGGAAAATGCAAAATACTATTATAAGTGAAGGTCACAAATGTGCTACCTTCTGGAACGTATGAAACATGCATGTCTTCACAACCTGGTGGACAGGTGGTAGAGAAGAGGATATGTTGGGGCTTTTTTTTTTAATCTTTATTGGAAAGTCAGATATACAGAGAGGAGGAGAGACAGAGAGGAAGATCCTCCATCCAGTGATTCACTCCCCAAGTGGCTGCAATGGCCAGAGCTGCACCGATCCGAAGCCAGGAGCCAGGAACCTCTTCCAGGTCTCCCATGCAGGTGCAGGGTCCCAAGGCTTTGGGCTGTCCTCAACTGCTTTCCCAGGTCACAAGCAGGGAGCTATGGGAAGCAGGGCCACCAGGATTAGAACCGGCGACCATATGGGATCCTGGCGCATGCAAGGTGAGGACTTTAATTTATTGTGCCGGGCCCGGGGATATGTTTTTTAAATAAATGTATTCATTTGAAAGAGAAACAGAGAGAGACAGGGTTGGGGAGCGACAGAGATTTTTCCATCTGTTGGTTCACTCTCCAAAAAAGTGGAGAAGGGAAGCAGATGAAGAAAAATCCTCACTAATAACTTGCATTGTTTGTCTTAATGTCAAAGGCCTTTGTTTTTTAATGAACAAGCCAAGTGAATACAAGTTTCTGTGTGTTATCAGATATATACCTAATACACATGGTCTAGAGGGCCTCCCTTTCAGGGAAGCAACGATATCTGTCCTCTTGGAAGCAGCAGAGGTTAGTGCTGTGGCACAGTGGATTGAGCCATCAAACACAGTGGTAGCATCCATGTGAGCACCAATTCAACTCCCAGCTATTCCACTTCTGATCAGGTTCCCTGCTAATGTGCCTGGGAAAGTGGCAGAGGATGGCCCAAGTGCTTGGGTCCCCCCAGCATATATGTGGGAGAGCCTACAGAAGCTCCTGGCTGCTGGCTTCAGCCTGGCCCAATCCTAGCTGTTGCAGTCATTTGGGGAGTGACACAGCAGATAGAAGTTCTCTCATTGTGTCTCTCCCTCTGTCTCTGTAATTCTATTTTCAAATTTAAAAAAAAATAATAGTGATGTATACAGACAACCCCTCAATTAATCACAACTCATAAAAAGGAAAAATGTAGCAGTAACCCTGGAAATCAGTTCTTTGGGGACAGGAACTCACATCTATTCATTTTTTTGAAATGACCCCAGAATCTTCAATTCCCAAAAGGTTTATCTCAATTTCACTTTGAATGCCTGCAATCTCCTTGCAGACCTCCCAACCCCACCATCCTTTCTTCCTCGGTTTCCCCACCCCTGGCCCCACTTCCCAGAAGCTGTGAGTACCTGCAGGCAAATGACTTTGTCCCCAGGCCGAGCTGAACTGTCTGGAGAGTAGTCACCGTCTTGTCGAGACTGCTGTCTACCACGCGTCTTCCCAACAGCCACAGGATTCACAGCTTCGAGGTGCGAGGGGTTGGGCAACATTGTGACATGGAGGGGACTGTGTGCACCAAAGTCCAGGTCCACAGAGGAAGTCAGGTGAGACAGGACATCGCCAATAGCTGGGAGGTTTTCCGGAAACTCACTTAAACCTTGCATTTTACGGAACATCAGCTGTTACAAGTTCACACACAAGAAAAAAGTCTTACATCATGGTAATGTAATGGCTAAGAATAAACTACACCTAGATGCTTTTACAATGATTATATACGTGCATCATTTAGAGCTATACATGGATTTCTAACAGCTGAATTGCTTACATTTCATTAGGGAGCTTCAGAATTAAGTGAACTATTAACCTTTATTTTAGCAGGTTTACCTTCCTTCCTTCCATCTATCTTTCTTTTCATTTATTTGAAAGGTAGGGAGACAGACACAAAGAGATCATCTTTGCTCTTCAAATGCCCACAGTGGCTGGGGCTGAGCCTGGAACTCAGTCCAGGACTCACACAGGGATGGCAGGGGCCCCGCCATTTGAGCAGTCATTGCTGCACCCCAGGATGAGCAATAGCAGGAAGTTGGCATCCCAAGTGGAACTGGGATTCAATCCCAAGTGATATAGAACACAGGCATCCCAAGCAGTGACATAATCTCTGCACCAAATCTCTTCCAACACTTTCAAATGAGATCTCTCATGAGGAAAATGGAAAGTTACCCACGTGTTGCAACAAACAAAAACTTCCCTTAAATACACTTATTAGAATACATTTCTTGCAAGCAGGTATTTGGTGTAGTGGTTAAGACATTATTGGGACACTCATATCCCATAGCAGAGAGTGCCTGGATTCAAGTCATGGCTCCATTTATAACTCAGTTTCCTGCTAATGTGCAAACTGGGAAGCATTCAGGATGCCTCAAGCAGTTGCATCCCAGTCAACAACTTGGGAGAATTTGCTTGAGCTCCTGGCTCCTGGCTTCAGCCTGGCCTTGTCTCATGTATCTGTGAGCACTCAGAGTGAACTAACAGGTGTGAGATTTCTCTGTCTTTAACATAATTAAAACAAATAAACAAAACAGCTTTAAAAGTCATATCTTTGCCAAAAATTTAGTTAATATACATTTCATTAAAGGTAGGGAGAAAACAAATAGAACAGAATATAATTTCTTTTATACAGGAGATGAAGTATACTACTCATCTCAAGTCAGACCTGAAGACTTAACACTGTCTAATTCCCAGAAGATTTCTCTGTACACATTCTTCCACTTCGTTTTCATAGTCTTCTTTGGCATAGATGCTACCAACCATTTTGAAAACCAGCAAACAAGGGCAGGCAAGTCAACTGAAAAAGGTCCTTGGCTAGAAAATCACAAACCTTGTTCCCAAAGCAAAGTATTTGCCATGAATACAGGCTTGTTATAAACCATTCAAACTGTTGGAATCACCCAAAGCTTGCAACAGCTTATTAACCTAGGGTACCTAGAAAAAGGATCATATATACTCACTTAGTATAGGAATGTGTGTGTGCACACACAGGTGCACATATATATTTCTTTTCCTATAAATAATAACTTAAACCAATTCTGCATGTTGGGGTAACTTTTGTCTGGAAGATTTTAAGAACACAATTTTTTACCTAAAAAATTTTAGCATGTACTTAAGCACATGCCTCCATCTCCCAAACTTTAGTCTGCCATATTTTGCCTTTCTAAGCTCAGTGTTTCTAAAGACTCGTAACAGGTGTGGATGACTGTGACAAAGATGGGCCCTTATACCCAACATGACATGTATTTTCTAACAGTTTGAAGTTAAGTTAGCCTTCCATTAGCTATGTTCACTTCAACTTGAACAGCCCTTTAACATTCTTAAGTATTTTTTATTTCTTAAATCAGCACAGTAGTAAGGTTTACCTATACCTCATGGCCAAAACCTTATTAACTATTGGGTCTCTCTCTAAGGGTCAGTGTGCTGTTGTAGCAAGCCAAGCCTCTGCCTATAGCACTGGCATCCCACATGGGCACTGCTTCCAATTCCAGCTGCTCCACTTCCAATACAGCTCCCTGCTAATGGCCTTAAAAAGCAGCCAAGGACGGGCCAACTCTGGTCTCCTGTAACCACATGGAAGACTAGCAAGAACCTCCTGGTTACATAAATCAGACTGTCTCAGCTCTGACCATTTCGGCCATTTGAGGAGTGAACCAGAAGACAGAACAGCGCTCTCTCTTTCTCTCTCTGTAACTCTGGCTTTCATATAACATACATAAGTATTTTATATATACATATGTGTCCATGCATGCATATTTATTTTTTTCAAGGCTTCTCTAATATTTCCTGACATAAAAACCTTCACTCCTCTCAAGCTTTTGAGAAGCTTAACAAAGCAGTTGAGTTAGAATGAACAGGAACACTGAAATTAAAGGCACTTAATTGCATGGCCTATTGAGATGATAATGGATTACTGGATTTTATTATAATCTGCTAACTATTAAGTCTGCACATGCACAGACCTATGAATCCTAGGAAGGTAAAATCACAAAGATCTTCATGTTTATTAGCACACTTTATTAAATGAAAATCAGGCTCCACAGAGCAGGAATCAATCACTCACGTGTCATCCTTGAGAAAACAAACTGATCTTCAATTTCAGAGAGAGAAGTGGGACCCACAGAAGGATACATTGCAAGTCAGCCTCAATACCTAGCCTGTATGTCAACATCAAGTCTGCAGATTAACTAATCTACACCCAGGGCCCTGGGATCCTGTGCTTAGTGGACTGTCTAAAAGAAATGGTTACTATGGGGAGTTGGACTGTGGGGGAAGCAGCCAGGATATGAAGCAGCACCCACACAGGCCATCAGCCTGGCAGGCTGCGGATTGACCCACTGGGACACCACCACCCCGCCTCACCCCACCCCACCCCACTCCATCCCATGCTGGTTTATTCATCAGCTCCTTCACCAGGCTGGGTGCCTGCCCCCTAACTTGCACAGCTTATGCTGTTCTGTGCTTTGAGAGCGGCAGGCACAAAAAAAAAAAATGGTTACTATGCTCATAAAGTTGTATCTTTTTTTTGTTTTTTAATATTACTTAGTTGATTAGGGTACAAAGGGGTTAAGGGTTGCAGGAAAGTGGGTAAGACCATTGTTTCCACACTAATATCATCATTTTCCTGCCCCCCCCCCACGCTGTATCTGGGGCCAGGGGAGAAACAAAGGGAGAAGTGCCACCCAGAGCAGTTTGATCTTAAGAGTCAATTTATATAAGCTGGTAAAAGCCACTTTAAAAAAGAACTTTACCTCTGGAGGAAACTGCAGAAGGCCGGTCAATAAATTAAGCCTCCCTCTGTGAGGCATCCCAATAATGACATCTGTTATCCCGCTGTAGGCCGCCATCTTCAGCAGCTCATGGAAAAACCCCATCATGCTTTCCGCCCCTTCACCTCCATACCGCTTCACGGTGGCAAACTTGGTGGCCAAGAAGTGGTCAAACTCCTATGGAACATCACACCAGGAAACAGACAGGGTGAGGGGTGTTGTATACAGACCCCCACACTATTCAAGTGGCTGCTCCCTTACACTACCTATCTGAGAGTAAGTTGGAAGGAATAGAGCCAAGTTCTGCCAAGGACACTGGCAGTCAGCACGGACTGCTGCCAAGAGGATAACCTAGAGTCACCTACCCCAAGAACAAGGTCCCCAGAATGTGTGTTCTCCTAGACTAGCACCCAGGCCTTAGACTTTTGCCTTTCCCAGGACTTCATTTTCATAGAGGTGCTCTTCAGTACTAGTTAAGCCAGGTCACAAAACATCCAAACTCCAGGCAAGAGACTTCTTGTCACCTCGACATGCCTGAGTCCTCGTCACAGCCCGTACGGGGATGGAGATCCTTCAGTTTGTATCAGGCTTGCTTTTAGGCATATTATTTCATCTCTTCAGATAATGAAGAGAGAAATGAGATCTGAAGGATTTTTGTCATCTTTGTGGAGCAGGCAAATACATAAAAAAGTATTCTGATGCTAAGCAGAACCAATAGCTTGATAGCTTAAGGGTGATCAATTTTTTTTTTTGTTCAGCATCAAGTGATGTAAATCACATTTTCTGTTGTGCTGAATCAATGAAGGGAAGTTTAGAATTGGCGCCTTCATCCCCTCTCTTCCATGGTGACATATGTTTATACAAAATGAGCTTCTGCTTATGCACCTGAGATTCTAGCATTAGCCTGGACAGATGTTTTCGCTCTTCCGTGGTGAATGGTTCCTTTTTCAGCTCTTCAAATCTCTTGGCAAACCAGTTTTTCTCTTCCTGGTTCTGAAGTTGAGAGGTTTCAATTGAAATCTGTCCACAATAGATTTGATCGAGATAGGCTAGTATTTCTTCAAGAGAGGCCTCTTCCTTCCCCATGTTCAATAATCCTAGAAAATGGAATCAAAGCAAACACTCCTTTTAAAAAGAAAACAAAAATTACTTTTTATTGGAAAGGCAGATCAGATTTATGAGGAGCGGGGGAGATAGAAAGATCTTCCATCCACTGGTTCACTCCCTCAGTGGCTGCAACTGCTGGAGCTGAGCTGATCTGAAGCCAGGAGCCAGAAGCTTTTTCTGGGTCTCCCACGTGGGTGTACAGTCCCAAGGCTTTGGGCCGTCCTCAACTGCTTTCCCAGGCTACAAGCAGGGAGCTGGATGGGAAGTGGAGCAGCTGGGACACAAACAAATGCCCATATGAGATCCTGGCACTCACAAGGACAGGATTTAGCCATTGAGCCATTGCACCAGACTCTATAAAGGCCTTTCTAATGAATAAACAAATAAATTATTTTTAAAACTATAGTCATGTTCTTCTGTTTTTTTAAAAAACAGAAATAGAAAAGCAACATTTAAAAGTAAAAGCAAATCTCCCTGAAAAATCACAGAAAGGGAAGGTTTGATAGGGCCTGAGCTAAACACCAAATCCATTACTTACCTCGTCCTACAACTTGATCTTAGCAAACCAATATTTACTTGCAATTTCTCACAATAAACTTTAGATATGTGATGCTAGCTAACACTCCAAAAATTATTTTGTATTTTGCATGACTTCTCATACACACACACACATATATATATGTAAATCTTAAGATATATATATCCTCTACCTGCTGGCTCATCTCCCAAATACCTTCAACTGCCAAGTTAGATCAGGCTGAGGGCAAGGACCTTGAACTCAGTCTGGGTCTCGCATGTTAATGGGAAGAATCCAAAAACTTGGGCCATCACTCAGTGTCTCCCAGGATGTACAGTGGTAGGAACCTGGCAAGGAGGCCAGTGCTGTGGTATAGCAAGGAAAGCCACTGAGCCAACGCTCATGGAAAAGCAGCAAAAGAGGGCTCAAATCTTTAGAAACAACAAACAAAAAAAGAACGAAAGAATGACAGCAGATCTTGATTGCTGCTTTTAAATAGCTATAAGTCTATGTTTCCCTACCTATAAAATAAAGAGGACACACAACTCCTCCATGCATCAAATGTTTGGGGACTCGTCAGGAACCCAATACGCCTTCAAATGGAGAGCAAGTGGGCCCTTTCTGAAGGACAGTCTAGATCCTCTGCAGTTGTTGAATGCAACCCTTCTTGTCTCCCCACTCCCACTGGAAACCCCAGTTCCATGCCAGTTCTTCAAGACAGGAAGGCTTCTCCCTCATCTGGGCAGTTCTCTGCTCAAGTTTCCTTACCCGTCGTATTGAAGGGTCCCTGGAGGGTCTGCACGAGGGCTTGGATTTCAGGCACACTGTCCAGCAGGGCTTGTCCGGGGAAGAGAGGGTTGATTTTGGCAGCTTTGTGACCATGCTCACAGTAAACTGTCACCAATCGAGCAAGGCCATGATCAACTGTATGGTAGAGAAATACAACGAGCAATTTAGGAAATGCCCACCAAGTACAACATTCAATGTCACAAAGAAGCTTTTTTGGCCTTGGATATTTAAATATGTTATATTTAAATGTATATGCAAAAATGTATATGCACACATACATACACATTGTGTGTGAATATATGCAAATATATGCATATTCGATATATACGTTTTTTTAAAATATGTACATATTTAAATATGTTAAATATATCATATATAGTTACATGTTTAATATATTACATATTTAAATATGTTACAATATTCCTATGTATTAATATGTTGTATAAAATATATATTTTATATAGATACCTGTACATGTAAACATTTATATATAAGTGCATATAAGATATTTATATGTTAAGTATACAAAATGTATTTATATAAATATATAATGTATAAATAAATTTGTGCATTATATATTTAACATATTAATATATTGATAAAGAAAGAGAGATCTTCCATTTGCTGAATTATTCCCCAGGAAGCAAAAATCGTAAGGGCTGGGCCAAGTTGAAGCCAGGAGTCAAGAGCTTCATCTGGGTCTCCCACATGGATGGCAGAGAACCAAATACTTGGGCCATCCTCTGCTGCTTTCTCTATCCACAACAGAGAGCTAAATCAAAGATGGAGTAGCTGGGACATGAACCAGCACCCACAGGGGATGCTGGTGCCATGGTGGGTGGTGGGGAGGATTAGCCTACTGAGCCACTGTGTGGCAGGGATCCTCACTTGAGCTATCACTTGTTCCCTCCTAGGGTGTGCACCAGTAACAGGCTGGCTCCAAGTAGAACAGCCGGGACTCCAACTGGCATCTGTCATGGGATACCAGCATTCCGACAGTGGCTTAATTCATTGTGCCACAATGCCATCTCCTTGTGCCACAATGCAACTTCCTGATTCTTTCTTAAATCCTCACCAATATACAGAAAGAAAGCTCAGCAATAAGTAATAAAATAGAGTGCTTGTATTGAGTACTACCTTCTGTATGCACTGGAACGGGTTTTTATTTTTATGCACATCCTTGTAACAACTCTGGAGTAGGAATCCTCTGCAAAAAGGTAAAATGAGGATTGGGGCCCATGTTGTGGAATAACAGGTTAAGCCACTGCCTGTGATGCTGGCAGCCCATATGGATGCTGGTTTGAGTCCCAGCTGCACCACTTCTAATCTAGCTCCATCCTGGAAAGCAGCAAAAGCTAGGCCAAGCATTTGGGTCTCTGCTTCCCACTCGGGAAAACCAGGATTCACCTTTGCCATTGCAGCCATCTTGGGAATGAACTAGGGGATAGAAGGTCTCTCACTCTCACTCTGCCTTCTTTTCTCTTTCTTTCTCAACTCTTTCAAGTAAATAAATCTTTAAAGAAAAAAGAGAGAGAGGCTCAAAGGAGCTAAGCAGCTTACAAAGGATAACAAAATCAGGGAGCGTGAAGAAGCTGGAACTTGAACTCAAGTGTATTTGACCTCAGTTCAATATTTTATCCATTATGCCTTAATGAAAGTTGAAAGCAGAAACGATGAGCCTAAACAAAAAGGGATGACAGAACTAGACATCATTAAAACACTGCTTTTTTCTTATAAGTAAATTAGTTGATACTTCTGGCCATTTTTGGTCTATATTTGTGCTCCAGAATTCTACTTTCAAAAGTATCTACCGTATTCACGTTCTCCTCAACTTTTTCTCTATGACTTCAGAGAAGGTTCCTGCTATTTCCCTTAAGCAAGATCCTTGAAACTACTCTGATTACCAACACAGTGACAACACAAACAACTAGACACTGCTCGGATTTTCGGTTCCCATCATTTAGTGCTCTCTAAAGTCTGCCATTTTTCATAAAAGAAGCTCCAAACCTTCCAGGATGAATTTTTTTAGCCCCAATCCTCCAGAATTAATTCTATAAATCATTATTGATTTTATTTGGAAAGCAGAGATTGACAGAAAGAGCAAGATCTTCCATGCTTCGGTGTACTTCCCAAATGACCAAAACAATCAGGGCAGCGTGGCAGGGTGGCAGGGTGGCAGGGACACAGCACTCCAGTCATCACCTGCCACCTCCTAGGGCATGTGTTACTAGGAAACTGGATCAGAAGCCAAAGGGCCACGATGCAAGCCAAGCACTCCAACACAGCCATGGGCTTCCCAGGTGGCACTGAACTGCTGCGCCGAATACCTGCCTTGTGATAAAGTAGATATGGGTGAATTGTCACTCCAGTTTAAAGTAGGATCTTTTTAGTAAATAAATTCAAGTTTATTTGGAAACTGGTTTACAGAGGTTAAAGTACAAGTGGTTACTAATAGCTAGCTACAAAGAACACTCACACAGGTCAAATTTTAACCAGTGAAGTCACTGCTACCCAAAAGGTTACAAAAGCACACTTAACATTTTTAAAAAATGCTTCCTACAAAAGGAGTCAGTGAATGGTGTGTTCATCCTACACAGGCACGGGTTTCTGCCAAGAGAAACACTTACAGGAAAAAGAGCCATGAAGTGCAAAGGCATGAGCACGCTGCACACTGATATCCACCCCCCGCCCCCCATTTCACTATGTCTCTTCTTTAAAATTTATTTTTACTTGGGCCCAGCGCCATGGCATAGTGGCTAAAGTCCTTGCCTTAAACGTGCCGGGATTCCATATGGGCACTGGTTCTAATCCTGACAGCCCTGCTTCCCATCCAGCTCCCTGCTTTTGGCCTGGGAAAGCAGTCGAGGACAGCCCAAAGCTTTGGGACCCTGCACCCGCGTGGGAGACCCGGAAGGAAGTTTCAGGCTTCTGGCTTCGGACTGGCACAGCACCGGCCATTGCAGGCACTTGGGGAGTAAAATCATCGAACGGAAGATCTTCCCCTCTCTCTCTTCTCCTCTGTGTATATCTGACTTTGTAAGAAAAAATAAATAAATCTTTTAAAAAAATTTATTTTTACTTAACAAAAAGAAGAAAAAAAAACAAACAGAAAAGATTTATTTTTATTTGAAAGACCTCTCTATATATCCCTTTCTCTCTTTCTGAAATCTACCTTTCAAATAAAAATAAATAAATAAAACAAATATCAGGAAAAAAAGACAAGATGGAAAAAAGGAAGGAAGGAAGGCAAGCATGCAGGCAGACAGGCAAAGGGATAAAAAGAGAAAAAAGAAAGAAAGAAAAAGGAGAGAAGTCACCAGAGTCTGGGATTATACTAAAAAGAAGTGAGGGAGTTCATATCAGGAAAGCTGGAAGTCTGGAAAGATACTCCACAGGACATGGCAATGGAGAAAAGCCACGGAAAATGGGTAACATGTGGAAAAGCTCAGGTAAGGGACAAGAACTTGGACGATGTTGGAAAGGTAGGTGAACTTAAGAAGAAAAAACACTGTGCAGACACTGTGACATTGTAGGCTAAGCCATGCTTGCCACACTGGTGCCCTGTATCAGAGCATCAGTTTGAATGTCAGCTCTGTTTCTGGTTTGGTTCTCCGCTAATGCAGCTGGGACGGCAGCAGAAGACAGCCCTGGTGCTTGGGCCCCTGTCTTCAATGTGGGAGACCCAAAGGGAGTTCAGCCTGGACCAGCCATTGTGGCCATTTGTGGAGTCAAACAATAATCAACAGAAGAGTTTCTCTCTCTCTGCAGCTCTCTGTTATCCTGCCTATCAAATAAACATTTCTATTTTTTTGTTTGTTTAAAAAAAAATGAGGGCCCAACACAGTAGCCTAGTGGCTAAAAAGCCCTTGGCTTGCACATCTGGAGTCCTATATGGGCACCAGTTCATGTCCAGCTGCTCCACTTGTGGTCCAGTTCCCTGTCGGTGTGCTGCAAGAGGCAGTGGGTGATGGTCCGACTGGGCTCCAGCCAACCACATGGGAGACGTAGTTGGAGTTCCAGGCTCATGGCTTCAGCCTGGCCCAGCCCTGACTGTTACCGCATTTAAAAGTCAATCAACGGGTGAAAGACCACTGCCTCACTCCCCCATTCTCCCTCTCTGTCACTCTGCCTTTCAGGTAGGGGTAAACAAGTGAATCAACATTGATACAGATGTCTGAACTTCGCCTGAAACACTAAGTTAAAACCTCAAAAGAAAGAAGTGAGATCTAGGAACTGGCATTTTAAACATTTTGAATGTACATTCAAAGTTGAGAATAAATGACATATAAAATTGTAAATACTCAATTTCCAAGGTGAAATAAAACATATGTAGTCTCATCAAATGCAAAGAATTCGCAATTAATCCTCAAAAATGGCTCCCCGAAAAAATAACTCCATTGTGTTAGAAATGAGGTTTCTTGTAAACTCCCCCTGAGGGGAAGAACAAAATAGCAAGTGTGTGGTGCAATATTCAAAGGCCAGAAGTTGGCGTTGAAACACAACAATTAAGCCACCACCTTCAATGCCGGCATTCCACATGGGCACCAGCTCAGCCTGGCCTAGTGCTGGCCATCGCGGCTATTTGGGGAAGGAACCAGTGGATGGCAGATCCTGTCTCCCTCTCTGTAACTCTACTTTAAAGGGGGAAAAAAAGTCCAAAGGCCAGGCATTTAGATGAAGAAGCAGATACCAATGCTAATCTCACATGGAACCTAAGGTGCGAACTGAGTTTCCTCTAATAACTGGTCTGTATTCATCTAATCTGTGAGGATGAACACAGACAGAATAACTTTAGAGCACAAAACACTGGAAACCAGAGTCTGGCACAGAAGCACGGCACAGATAGCCCCCCAAAATAACAAAAATAAAAATAGAACTGATATTCATGTGTACTCAATCATTTTATAAAAATGGTTTGAGGTTCAGCAAAGAGTTTTAAACTGTGCATTTAAAGTAAGAGTCTACCCAGGTTTAGGTAATACCAAGCTGTATTGTTAAGACCTCGAACTTCCTGCCCTCTTTTCCCAGTCAGCTGGACTTGGGCCCTGCGGCTCCCTGCTCACGTGCGAGCCCTGCCGCTGGCTCTGGAAAAGCATCCATGTCCTAGGTAGACAGAGCTGAGGCACCTCAGAACGTTATTCCCCCACCGAAAGCCCAGTTCCCGCGTGTTTATACACCAGGAAAGGCCAGCCCTGCCCCATCCTTGCCAGCACTAAGATGAGGAGGGCAACTCCAAGGTGGCGCCAACGCTGAGACCCCCGTGACCAAGGAGAATGGACAAGGGGGCACAAAGCCCATACCCCTATTTTGTCCTCCTCCCCGTGGGTGGCACACCTAGACCAGAGGCCGGTCTCCGGGCACCGACACCGCCTACACCTACACGCGAGCACAGACCAGGGAGGGAAGTCCCTGGAGTCCCCAGAGTCCACCCATGGGCCCCGTCCCCACCTGGGCGGCGCGCCAGGCTGCCCTGGGGCCCCTGACTTTCGGGCTTCCTGGGCCGGTACCCGTAGACGCCCCGCTCGGTCTGGTAGCCGCGCCGAAGAAGCGGGGCAGCTTGATTTATGCCCCGTCGTGCAGCTGCCACAGCGGCCGAGGCCATGACGAGCCCAGCTCCCACGTCCGGCTGCGGCTCCGGGCGGCGCGGGCAGCTCGGCGGCCACGGGCGCCCCGAGTCCGTCACGTGGGCGCCGCTGCCCAGACAACGCCCCCGCGCCCGATAGGCCGAGCGGCGGGGCCCTCGCAGCCCGCCCGGGACCGGCGCGGAGAAGCCACGCCCCGCGGGCAGGGACGCTGGAGATCCCCAAGGGTCGCTTCCGCCTGCTAGTGCAAACCGGGATGTCCTCAAGGCCTGCGAGTACGCACCCCTCGCTCTTCCGCAGGGAGCGATCTTGCACAATCACGTTGGCTGCCTTAAGGCAAGGAAAACCACAACGATCCCGAATAGCAAAAGGACACTTGGAGGAACAAGGCAACACCCTTTAAGAGGCCAGAGGGATGGCTCAATTGGCTAAACAGGACAACACAAACACTGTAGTGATAAAAGAGGTAATAAAGAACAGAGACAAAACCAACCAAAGGGTGTTAGGGAAACAAGAGACTTTTGCTTAACAAAATGTGGGCGCACTTCCCAGTAAGGCTGAGGGTAGGGGTTGTCCAGAAGACCCTCCCTTAACCAAAGAAGTGTTTCCTGGGCGAATGGCATCATTTTCAGGCGGAGAGGAGACTGCGTTGGCCCCTCCTCGCTTCTAAAACCCGGGAACTAGTCAATCAAAACACCAGGAAGTTCACTTACCAGAGGACTTGAAAAGAAGTTGGTCCTGGACACTCCGGTCAGGGTCCATGACTGGGGCCCTGGAACTTCTCAGGAGGCGCCCCCTGTGGCCTGAGCACCAATCCAGCGAGATTTTCTTCAGGACGGGCTCCTGATCTTGCTAGAGCCTCCAAATGCGGTACCCAAATGAACCTAGAGGGGCTGCAAGTACCAATCAGGATTTGCCAAGTCCTTTATCGCCCATAGTGGAGAGTGGCTCACGCCCCAAAGACCATGAACGACAGAAGAGCGGGCTAAAAGGCAAAAACCACAAAGTGGAACGGATTCCGGGGAGCTGAGCTATGCAGAGCCATCTTAAGGATAGAAAATTACTAATGACTAACTTTACAAGCCTTTGTTGCTGTACAGAAAAATTGTTCATCACTAATTTTACCTGCCTTTGTTGTTGCACCAGGCAAAACTTATCCTTCTCCTAGTCATGTTTGAACAGCATAGCCAGGGGTTCGAGAGTTCTTGACAAGCAGAATGTGATCTCTCAGCTGGGCTCTGGTCTCACCGGTGAAGCAGTGGCATTTTCTCACCTAAGATGGAGCCCCTCCCATTAAGCCTAGTCTTTCAGAACATTCTAGAATAGTAGCAAATATATTAAAGACTAAATGTTGGCAAGGGGCCTGGTGTGGTAGCCAAGTGGCTTAAAGTCCTTGCCTTGCACATGCTGGGATCCCATATGGGCACCAGTTTGTGTCTCAGCTGCTCCACTTCCCTTCCAGCTCCCTGGTAGTTGCCTGGGAAAGCAGTCAAGGATGGCCCAAAGCCTTGGGATCCTGTGCCCACAAGGGAAACCCAAAAGAGGCTCCTGGCTCCTGGCTTCAGATCGGCTCAGCTCCAGCCATTGCGGCCGCTTGGGAAGTGAACCCACAGATGAAAGATCTTTCTCTCTACCTCTTTTTCTCTCTATAAATCTGGCTTCCCCAAAATTAAGTAAATAAATCTTTTAAAAAAATTAAATCACACAGTATCTATCTTTAAAAAAATAAATAAATGTTGCATCACATAGCACAGAGTTGAGATTCTGTTTGGTGGTTGTGGGATCCTGGCACGTTATTTTTTTTTTTTTTTAATCAGGAAGGCACATCATATTTATGGAAAGAAGGAAAGACAAAAAGATCTTCCATCCACTGCTTCACTCCCCAAAAGGCCACAATGGAAAGGGATGAGTTGATCTAAAGCCAGGAGCCAGGAGCTTCTTCTGGGTCTCCCATGTAGGTGCAGGGTCCCAAGGCTTTGGACCATCCTTAATTCCTTTCCCAGGCCACCAGTAGGGAGCTGGATGGGAAGCCAGGACACAAAGCAGCACCCACACAGGATCCTGGCATGCAAGATGAGGATTTAGCCATTGAGCCATTGCACCAGACTGCCTGGCACATTTTTAAGCTATGCTAAACTCTAGTTCTTCCACCTTTTAAAATAGGAGCAATAGCATTTGCTACATGGAAACACTGGATGGATTGATGATTGTAGTGCAATAAGATGGAGGCATCTATATCTCTCTCCATCCATCCACTCAACCTCTTGGTGTTAGTGGAATTAGCTTTAATGGCAGCCACAAAAAGAAGCATGGAATCCTATATATCCCCTCTGTAAACAGCTGGCCTACTCAGTTCATTTTGACTACTCCACTTCCCATCCAACTCTCTGCTTGCAACCTTGGAAAGCAGCAGAGGATGGGCCAAAGCCTTGAGATCCTGAACCTGCATGGAAGACCTGGCAGAAGCTTCTGGCTCCTGGCTTTAGGTTGGCTTAGTTATGGCCATTGCAGCCACTTGGGGAGTGAATCAACAGGGGATCTTTCTCTCTGTGTCTCCTTCTCTCTGTATGTCTGCCTTTCCAAAATAAATAAATAAATAAGTAAATAAATCAATCAATCTTTTAAAAAGCTGGCATATTGCTTGATAAATAAAATGAAATTCCTGACTGTGATTGTCACACTTAACCCCATGCTTTCCTGCTTCAGCACACAGATTTCTTTCTCTCATTCACTTATTAATTATTATATCAAAATGTTACTAATGCCTTCTATGGCCTTAGAACACAGAGATTGATGATACATGAAGCTTACAATTTTATAGAAAACACAAATACAAACAAATTATTCCAGTAGAACACAATGATTGCTAAAATATGAGTGGGTGATCAGAGGTTGCTATGGGAACTCAGGTAGAGGCAGAAACCTAATTCAATATTTGCAGGGGAAAGAGAAATGGCTATTTTAAAATAGTGGTTTACTTGTGTAAATAATACTTGAGCTAACTAGTTTGGACATTTTCATAGAAGCAAGAGGACTCTAGATGATGGCATGGTATACACTCTGAAGAAAGGATCCTGGTCTGTGCAGGCAATGTGTCATGGCTAGATCTTGGACATGTAAGGAGGGAGCAGGAGACACAACTTCATGTATGGACAGGAGTCCCTGATTCAGATCTCCTGTTCAACACTGAGATTTTTACTCTGGGGAAAACATGGTGGCTCAGCAAGTTCAGTTTCAGCTTGAGATGCCGGCACTTCATGATGGAACACTGGTTGAAGTCTAGACTGCAGGAGGGGGCTTAGCCTACTATGCCTTGGTGCCAGCCCCCCATTTTTTGTTTTGTTTTTATTCTCTTAAGACATTGGCTTCCAAAGTGGCATGGCAGAAAGTGGAATGTGAGATTGATCCATCTAGGTAAAAACCTCAGAATTTCGGGCCCGGCGGCGCGGCCTAGCGGCTAAAGTCCTCACGTTGAACGCACCAGGATCCCATATGGGCGCCGGTTCTAATCCCATCCAGCTCCCTGCTTTGGCCTGGGAAAGCAGTCGAGGATGGTCCAAAGCCTTGGGACCCTGCATCCACGTGGGAGACCCAGAAGAAGTTCCTGGTTCCTGGCTTCGGATCGGCATAGCATCGGCCGTTGCACTCACTTGAGGGGTGAGTCATCGGACGGAAGATCTTCCTCTCTGTCCCTCCTCCTTTCTGTATATCTGACTTTCCAATAAATAAATAAATCTTAAAAAGAAAAACCCTCAGAATTTCTATTTGTATTTTACTTGCCTTTTTCTTCTTTGGAGTGTTAAATGTAAATATAAAACCATATATGTATGATTTTGTATTATAATATATAACATTTTGTATATAATAATTAGTATATAACATTTTTACATAATTATTAGTAAGTGAATGAGAGAAAGAAATATTATATATACAATAATATACATTACATATAACACATTATATATATTTACTTATTTTGCAGGAATATATACAGAACCGAAATCTCAATGGATACACAGAGCTTGGAAGTGCCCGCTCCCTTGCCCTCCTCATGGACCAATCATTGTCTTGGAAGGATTTCTAGCAAGGAAACTGAAGCATTAGGATTTGGTTTGTGTTTGAAATGAACTCTGATGGAAACAAACCAGATGTGCGTCCAAGGAAGAGTGGTTAAAGAAGCTGTGGTACATCTACTCCATGGAATATTATTCAGCTATTAAGAAGAATGAAATTATTCTATTTACAACCAGGTGGTCCCAACTAGAAACCATTATGCTCAGTGAAATGAGTCAATCACAAAAGAACAAATACCATATATTCTCTCTCATATAAGGATGCCAACATGGAAAGTGTAATTCCAACAGTCCAATCTATACTGTTTTTTTTTTTTTGTCTCTTTGCTTTTTTGGCTGTATCCCACGTGTTTTGATGTTTTTATCTCAGTTCAGTTGCTTCCAAATAATCTCTTTTCTCTAGTAGAATTCATCACATGCTCATGAAGTATACGATGGCATCATTTTTCCCAATGAAATGAACTCTCTAAAGTCAGTAGGAGACCAGAGATTAGAAGCAATGAAAGGACAGAGATTAAGAGACGGTTAGCCAGAATCTGAGTTGGACTTGATAAGGTCTAAAACAGGCTGTAGCACGGAGATGGGGAGGGTACCCACCCAAGGTCTTTCAGAGACTTACTGACTGAGAGCTTCACCGTGGCAAAGCAGGTCTTCGTAATCCCCACCAGAGTGCCTATTCACGTCCCCATTTCTCTGCCTTCAATCCAGCTGCCTGCTATTGCTCCTGGGAAAACAGCAGAGGATGGCCAAGGCCACGTGAGACATGAGGATGAAGTTCCTGGTTCTGGGCTATTGTGGCCATTTGGGGAATGAATTAGACTAAAGAAGATTCTCTCTACTTCTTTGTCAACTATATAGATAAATCATTTTTTAAAAATTTTTTAATTTTATTTTCATTAAAAAGACTTAGAGAAGGAGAGACAGAGAGAAAGATCTTCTGTCTGCTG